GGGGGGGGGGGGGGGGGGGGGGGGGGGGGGGGGGGGGGGGGGGGGGGGGGGGGGGGGGGGGCAAGAGTCAAAGGGAGTTGGTTGTAAGCTTCCGTGAGCACCCGCACATGTCAGTCCTGCTTGGTAAATTTACAGACAGCGATCTTTACCTTTCCGAGGATGTCACGAAATATAACCCAAGTGGTTATCGGCTTCTTGCTTTATCCGAGGTTGTGTTGGGAACGAAGGCACACGGCGCGACGTGCAGACTACACCTCCCTAGTATTCCCGCAATCTAGACACTTATCACAACGCAACAAGTTCGGACATGTGCGTGCGCGTGTGCTTGAAGCAGGCACTACTATTATCCGCAGGGAAACCGTCTCAGCTTGCGTACGCATGAGCATGTTTGCACGATGGAAGGCCAGACGTACGAGGAGGAAATCGACACTGATGATCGACGCATGTCGTCACGGGAACGCGGGCATATGCATAGCAGTTCTGCAATCAGCGTCCTGGGCCCTGTTTGTCTTAGAATCCCTCCCAACTGTACGTTGTAGCGGTAAGTATAACAGCAAGATACAGCAGAGCCCTGTCCACACTTCCTCCACACGCCACATTACATGCTATCACGCCGAGAAAAATATCACACTTGTGTGTGCATGCTGCATGCCGCGTGCCCTCGTTGAAAGGAAAGCTCCGTCACGCTCATTTTCCCTACAGTACTTGCTCTGTTGGAAAAGTGAAGATAGGCGGACCTACCTTTGATCGTGTCAACCAAGAGCCTCAACAGAGTATCATTCGCTGTGGCGCGTAGAATTTGTTTGAATGTTGCTCGAATCCTGCTAAGCACACAACCAGGAGAGCTCGAGCGTACAAGAGTATCCCCGTAATCGTTTGATGTGTAGCTGGTATATTTTCAGACGCGACAAAAACCGGGTTGGAACAAACACTACGTTCACGATTTTCATCTTGGGAGAGGTGGTTGGTCTCGAGCTATCTCTATCGTCATCCTCCGCTCTCCACATCAAGGGTTCTTTCAATTTCAGGTGAGGTGAGGTGAGGGCTTGCTTGGGGCACTTGTGCTTGTGGCGTGTGCGTGCTGGTTCTGCCCTTGGTACTGGCGGTCGATACGCACATGATATTTGATCTTGGCTACTTCTCCTCCTCTTATGCTTCCCGGTGCTGCTCCCTCCGCCGGTCGACGAAGCTGATAGGGGTAGAGGGTTCTTAATATCAACTACCCAACAACTCGACTGTCCCTCTTCCCCTAGCGACACATAGTGTACATCGAAGGGCTGCCAGCCTCTATAGTTTTTAATCTTCAACCCCCCAGTTCCTTCCTCCTCTTGCTTCGCTGACACTGTTACCGCCAACCAACGAGAATCCAGTACAACAGACATCAAGGGTTGCAGACACGAGCAAGCTACCATTCGGAGCTTGATGCTTTCTCCGCCTCCAGCTGTCGTTGCCGCTGCTGTTGCTGCTGGTCTTCCTCCTCCTGCTGCTTCTTCTTCTTCGCCTTAGCGCGCTTCAGAATGCTCTCACGCGCCCTCTTCTCTTGGCGCTTCTTGTCCTCCGCAGTATCCTCTTTCTTCTTCTCCAGTTTCTGCCCGCACACGTGAGTCATGTGGGTGGGTTGGTACGTTGTTCCACACAAAAACACAAAACATATTTTCACTCCTATAACACGAACGCACTGCTTCGGAACATATACAATACTCCAGCCAATCAAAATAACGCCTTCTACACAACCAAAAAGCATGGGTGGGGGGGTCGCGGAAGGGGGTTCCTGGACTACAAAGAAAGGCAAGAGTGTATGGATGGGAGGAACTCAGGTAAATCCACCTTTTTTGACCGTCGGCTTCCCCAAACAAGGTGACCGTAGGGAAGAGAGAGGTGTTGCAACCAGAACCACATGACATTGGCATACAGCAGTAGAGATGGCAGGCGACAGGTCGACACGGGACGACCAACAAGGACAGAATTCCGCATGCGGCGCACCTTTTCACGCTCCAGGCGGTCGGCGTCGTCCGCCTTGCAGCGCGTGCACTTCCCCTCTCGGCTGCACGTGTTGCACTTGAACTCTTGTGAGTAAGGTGGGGGGATGTCGACCAGGGCGGCGGAGGGAGTCCACCACGTCGGCGGGATGCGATACCGAGAGTTGATCTCGTGCGAGAGCTGTACACAACGGTGTCGGTGGTGCAAGAACAACAGCGGGCTGGAGGACATGACATTGGGCCGGGGAACGTAAAGCAGGCGTGTGGGGGGATCTATGCAGGGTGTATGTGCTTCTGTTATTTGCGTCGACCGCGCTACATGTGTCAACCGGCTGACACGTGAAAAGATGTCAGTCTCAGTGCGTTTGAATACAAAGAATGCTTCTAAAGGTCGGGTGTGTTGTGTGCGTGGGTGGGTCTATTTGAAAAGCATCGACATACATTAGGCTGACGAAGCAACCGACGTAATTGCTTCCTTTGTTGGTGATCAAAAATGACAAAAATCAACGAGGCCGACGAAATATGACAATACTGCTATTTCGTACGTACGGACGCGGCGATCAAAAGTTGCAGCTATTGCACGTACTGTACAGGGCATGTTCGATTCAAGCCGATGAAGGAGGGGTGGTCCGATCGCGAAAAAGTCCTATACTTTGAGAACTATGCATATCATTTGGCAGCTCTTCCCTATCCTTTGAGAGCTAGCACGCGGGAACTCTCCCTTTTCTCACCATCTCAACGTAGTCTAGGGCTGCATCTTGAGACACGAACTTTTCGTACAGCTTCGCCGCGGCAGTCGCCATTTTCCTGCACTCATCGTCATGGCTTCTGCACCACCTGGCCAATCAAATCGCCAGGACGTCCAACGTTCGGCCCAACCAACAATTGGGGTTTAAAAAAAAAGATGTAGGAGGAGCGACAAGATTCGGTGCCTTCGAAACCGGGCACCACTAACGATTCAAACACACTCAAGACTGACCAACACACGAAATACCAATAGGGCATGCTTTTTCTCATCAAAGGTTTGGTCTTTTGAGGGTAGGATGTTGTTGTTGTTGTTGTTGCCGTCTTCACGTTCATCAAAAAAAGTTCCGTTCTCTCTACCCAGTACCTGTCTGTCCGCACTACATGTAGTCAACACTTCAGGTTACTTCCTGCAATCGAGAGGATTACCTCTAGGTTCCACTGAGAGCTTCCAGGAGCACCGATGCACCCTGTTGCATCGACCGCATGTTTCCCCACACGACAAAAGACAACAGGATATCTTTCCTTCGATAGGACACAGGCTTACGGGTAACCAACGATATCGCTGACAACGGTCAGACATGTAGCGTGGCCACTATATCTAAATCAAGCGGAAAATACACAACAGAAGCGAACAGGTTCCAGGAACTTTTAACTACCGACTTAATTTCACCAGAATGCAACAGGTACCACAACATACTATGGATCTACTATTAATAGCCTACCATGATGCAACAGAAACGGTAAAAATTAACGAAGTGATTTCATAATCTACCGAATTTTTTCCTCTAGATCGGAGAGGTCGGCCTTGATGGGAACATGGTCCACCCACGGCTGCAGGAGAGGGAAGTACCACATGCTGTCGGCGACACAGCGCGACGTCACCTGACAGAACGAAAAATACATATACGCACAACACCAACGTGTTTCAGCCATGCATATACGAAAGAAATGATGGGGTTCGCTTTGTCGAACGCTTTTCAAGATTCTATGTGTATGTGTCTCTCCCTCTCTTCCTTTCTATCTCCCTCCCGCTCTCTCTCCTCTCTCCCTCTCTCTCTCCATGTATAAACCACTCCGTCACCTCTCTAGCTTTTCGCACGGCTGTCACGCATATATATTTATGGCGGGGGTGCTCCCGCAAACGCATACAGGTGAAACATTATTCTTGGAACGATCCTATTACACGGGGTAGGGGGTGAGCAGTCAACGAACACCCAAGATCAATTCACGATCGAGCATAACAACAGCAGCAGTATCGGCGAACAAATCTACTGCCTCGAACAGGTCTTCAGGTCCACTTTCACCTTAAGGATAACAGATCCGAGGCGCATCATAAACCCGTACCGGCATGCCGCGCAGTGCCCTTCCACGTACACCAAGTACCTGGTAAAAAACAAAAACGGTGGTATGCATTCAGTAGGGCAGGAAAGCCCCGATCGATCGCGACACAAACATGGCGATAACATGACAAAATTCGGTAAGATCTGGTAAAAAGTCGATGGTGCGACGACCAAGACTACCCGGGATCAGTGTTATCGAAAACAAGAAACACAGGATGAGAACAAACTCCGATATGGGGACAGCAACACCAAAAGCCAGCGATGCGTACAACATATGGTGCCAGTAAGTTGGGGCGAACGATTTCTATACGTTGAGGGTAGGGTACAGATTGGTTTCAGACGAACACGAAAATCACGCACACGCATCGAATTCAATTACACGTTCACCACCGCAATACGCATGGGGGTACTCACGAGGCAGCTACTAAAGTCCTTGAAACCTCTAGGGCAGAAGTGTCTGGATTGACTTCCGCCGTGATCCAAACTACTCTCCGACTTCCGATTCTCTAACGCTGTCGACGAGACTGCCGAAATGGCTGTTAGAGGTAAAAGTGGGGTTCACCCCTTCCTCCAAAGACAGGCAAACGCTGACAAAAAACGCCTCCTCCAAAACAAAAAACAAGTTTCCTCCCAAAACGACCTACCCGTTCCGAAAAAAAGAAACTCCTCTTCCGAGACAAACAAACGCTTCACGCAAGGCAAACAAACGCCTCCTCCAAGACAAACGAACACTTGCTGCAAGGCAAACAAATACCTACTGCAAAACACACAAACACTTCCTCCAAGACGAATGAAACGCCTCCTCCAAAACACAATGAAAACTCTCCCTCCAAACCATAAAAAAAAACGCATCTTGCGAAACAAACAAACACCTCCCTATTCCAAGGCAAATGAAACGCCTCTTTCCAAGACAAAAACAAACGCATCCTCCTCCTCCTCCTCCTCCTCTCCTCGCTCACTTGAACTTGGACTGTTGGTAGATGGGCGTGAAGTTCTCCCTTCCTCCCTTGAAAGGGATCGTGGTCGGATCAAGAAACCGCATCTCCTGCCCGGCGATCTTCTTGTCTCTCAGATTCCAACCTGACCGAGTACAGCAGTACAGCAGTACCACAGTGACAGCAGCACGACAGCAGTGCGGCAAGGAACATCCCGAGCACAAGAGCAATCGTTGGCACCATTGTGTTGGGTGGTTGCCAACAGAAGCACAGCCATTAGGACAAACAAGAGGGGGGCACACGGAGCGAAGATGTTGAGGGCGTAAACGCTAAAAAACTCATGCCCGATGACTGCGCCAAGCGATGGAAAGGTCGACCGAGAAGGCGAGAGAAACAGGCGAGCCGCCACGGCTTTGCGCTCTGTCCTTCTACTGCTGCAGCAGCTACAGCAGCGCGACACCTGTCGACAAACACGCGAACATATGTCTTAATCCAAACCAATGACAGGGCGAGTTCAGCCAGTCTCGCGCGAGAAAGAAAACAGCCATGAAAAATAAAGGGCAACGCAAAAGCGCGAGACGAACAACCCAGACAGTTCTTTCTGGCCGCAGGGTTTACCAACCCGGAGGGGCCGTTGGCTTGCCACCGTGCGCTCTTTGCGACACACCTCCGCATCGCGGCGAAACGTCGCTGACGTTACGGCGGCCACGACCACTAGGAGCAAGCTACCTACGTACAAAGTCGATGAGCTCTCTCCCCAACGGCAGAGCAACCACACCGCCAACAAGGAGCCTGACTGACTCACCGACTATCGCGGCGTCTAGCAAGGGGTCGGTCGATGCGCTACCGCCGCCATCGGATGGTGATGACCCCTTGCCGTTGTGCTCCGGGCTTGACTCCCACTCGAAGGACTGCCAGGCAATTGCCAGTCGCTGGTTGGTCTCGCGGGTAGTGCCTCCTCCCGTTGCCGTGCCCCTGGCAAGGCAAGCCAAGGCAAGGAGGAGTCCCGGTACAAAATTGAGGATTCTCTTACGGAATGGGGGGGTACGGGAGTACTCGTGGTCACGCACGCCGCAGTCTTGAGTCCATACAGTGCAAAAAGTCTTGAGATCATACAGTACAGCTCGCGGTTCAGGGGGGGGTAACGAATTTCCAAGGTTGTGGTGGACGGGTTGCCGGTTCGTCGGCCAAGGGTAATGAGGTATTGATATTACCCAGCGCGAACAAACTTCTGGGTCCTGGCACCGATGCTGCTGTACCCATCAAGTACCGGATAAACGGGTATCTCGTCGACGGTATACCCGAACCCCGTGGATCATGAGATGGATACATGTGCCCAACGTCCAGCACTTTCGATGAGGGGTATCAACGTTAACGTTGCCTCTCAATGTGTTCCACTACAGTATCAGGTAGAGGTGAACTGTCTATATGCCCCAGGGTCTGGCACCCTGCACAAGCTCCGCAAATTGAGCTGCCTCCCACCGGTGGGGACGGAATCAAAGCAGGGGGGGGGATGAGGCGGGGTGTAATCATATAAACGCATGCGGCAGTCGTTAGACCATTGACCTCGCATCCCTACAATGCCGGGACGGAGCGACATGCCGAGTTTACGTCGGCCCAGCCTACGTTTCACTAAGGATGACGCAGAAGCGAGCCATCATCCTTGCGTTTGCAGTGCCAAACGGGACATGCCATGAGGCTGATTGGACGGATATTGTTCAGCGAAAATACGAATACAACCGTAGGGGAGAGGGTATCCTCGCACCTGAAAAATGCCGTCTCTTGCTTGTCGGCCCAGTCGCACTCAAACTTCTTGAAGTTTTCTTGGGTGAAGAGATCTCGCGGCTCGTCGATCTCCACCTCGCCCTCCTTGTTCACCTATAGAAGCATATTACAAGAGGCGCCACAAAATACCCGCCCACGCACGTGGTATTTCAAAGGAGGTGGCAGGGGCTGGATGGAGATTTCAGCAAAGGTCGTCATGAAAAACACAACAGGAGCAGCACAGGCATTCAATTGAGCGCAAAAAAATCCGTTTCATTAGGCATACACGCGCGCAACAGCATCTTGTTTTGTAATTTGTTTAGGACACCTGGTGGCTGAAAGTCTTGGGGAAAACCATTCCCGTGGCCGCTTCCCAGTCTTCCGACGTAGGGAACGGGATGTCAGCAAACCTTTGGTGTGCCCGCAACGAGCGGGGAGAGGGGTCAGGAGGAAAGGAAGAACGAGAGGGAGGGGGGAGGGGGGGGGAGGAGATACGGGAGAGGGGTGTTGGCGGCTAATCGACCCACTGATTGGTTTAATTGATCATGCACCCAGTTGCCTAGTTTTGAGACGACGGGCCGGAGAGAGGCGGGAGGGGGGGGGGGGGGGGGGGGGGGGGGGGGGGGGGGGGGGGGGGGGGGGGGGGGGGGGGGGGGGGGGGTGTTCGACGAACGGGTAAGTTCATAGAACCCGAATCCCAGAGAGGGGAAAACCAACGCCGTCGAAAAGATCAACTGGCGGTGCAAACCAATTCAGAGTCGAAGTCAGAGTAGGACAACTATTATAGCATGCGTTCTCGTCAAAGGTGTCTACCTACGTGCGCACCCGGATCAGCAATCAAACTGTTTGAAGCCATTGGAACCATTGTCTAGCGGTGCTGTACCCTAGTGTCACATTAGGGAGCAGTCGAGTACCAATCCATCGGCGGATGGAAAAAGTGGGACTGCTGTACGCATGCTAGAAACGTTGTTCCTACTCAACCAGAACCGTACTTCTGAAGTATACCGTAAGGTTGCGAGTCAGCTAAGGCACGGGGGTGCGATTGATTTTCAAAGCGTATTTTCTCCACAAGCAGGAGGGTGTGAGCGCCAACCGACACTTCTCAGGAAAGCTCTTGATGAGATACTTCCAAAGCCGCCCTTTTCGACAGTGGTAACCTCCTGGTTGTGGACAAGTTACGCTTTGAACATCGTTCGTACCCCTGTACGCTGACTCGCAACCTCACGGTAAGTAGTATGCGGGTGAAGAGCGCAGCTACAGTGGGTCTTGAAAACTGACTGCAGTCTTCCCTCTTACCTCTCTGAGCAGTAGAAGCTAACGATGGGCGTCAAGGACGGATAGCGATGCCTCTTCAAGGGCACGTCTTGCTCCGGATCACTGGACGGGTCAAGTTGGAGACAGACATGCTAGGACAAGTAAATTTGCAGCTGTGAATTTGGGGTTAGTCGAAGTTGAGAGTGTACGCGGAGTTCATCCCAAGTAAAAATTGACTACGTGAAACGAGGTTGCGCGGTTCCGGGGAAAAACGTGGGGGCGAGAGGGGGGGGCAAAACACTAGTCACGACAGAGACAGCGTACCATACACAGTCGTAACAAGAAACAGCAACGGTAACTACACCTTGCTGTGGTTGGTGATTCCCGGCCTGGATCAACGACAACGGCACAGAAGTGCCTCCAAGCAGTACCCCAAAGGTACCACAGCACACAACGCCAGAATGTCTGTTCCGACATCAACCCCAGCATTCCTATCAAAATACCATCATCAACCTTCAGTTCCAACGTCAAGCCCAGCATTCCGACCGCCTTCCTCAATGCTCCGCCACCGTCTGCAGCCTCTAGAGCCACACAACCGCCAACATCCTTAATACTTCTACATGCCTCGCCAGCACTTTAGTTTCCAAATCACGCAAAAACGGCCGGTGTTCCCGCTTCAAACGTCGCTGCAATCGCTATGCAAACAGCTCCAAGGCCAACCAATACCTCCTCCAACTCTGGCCATGGCTCTAATATCCTAACGCACGATTTGTGTAGCCCTTAACCATACTACCTCCTCCAATCCTGCAATAGCTCTTGTGTCGAAACGCACAATTGCTGTAGCCCTTAACGTTGTAACACCTCCTCAAATTCTGGCAATGACGCTTGTGTCGAAACACACAATTGCTGCAGCCGTTCGCCTTACCGGTCGTCCTTATCGTAGATGAAACCGTAGGGCTCCACCGGCTTGAGCGAGTTCGGGTTGAACTTGAGTTGCGGGTAGTCCCGCTTGTTGATGAAGAACTCGCAGTCAGCGACATCCCTCGACGAACACGCCTGCTCGATCATGTCTCTCAGAGGGGAGTTGAAGTGGTCCCCCCAGTACTGATGATCCGAGACAACCGGGAGAGAAACAGATAGACAGGTAGACAGGACAGAGAGAGAGAGGTAGACAGAGAGACGGAGAGATAGACAGGACGAGAGAACAGAGATGCAAACAGACAGACGCCAAGGGGCGATTGCGCGTGCGCATCGTCCAGTTAGGAGATGGGAACGGGGCTGGGGCGGGTGTGACGGCTCATGACCCGCGTGTTGTTTTGTTGTTTTTTTGGTTCGTTGATGATAGAAGTATATTCACGAAATTACAGCAAGCAACGTTGCAAGCCACGCGGCAAGGGAAAGGATAGGCTACGGTCAGTAAAAAACGCAGCGGGAGAGCAGTGGGCGGTCTTCATGGTTGATGGGACGGGACAATACCCGTGTCCGAGGGTTTCAGCCGGAAGTGGAAGGGGGTGAGGGTGGTCTGAGCGAGCGCTGTTGCTTCAAGCAACCGAAGCCAAAACCAACAGACCAGTTAGCGCTGACTGGTCCAATGGTTTGATTTGGGCTGCTACAGTGCGTGAGAAATAGGATGAGGGTGGATGGGTAAGACAGAGAGAAGCTGTAGCACTCGCTTTAGGAGCAATGTCGAGCAAAAGTTGTTCGGTTGGCAGTCTCGTATTGCGTTGTTTTTGTTTTGAAATTGTGTGTTGGACGATAGCACCTCTGCATAGCAATAAATTGCATATATAGCAAACGTAAATAATATCCAACGGATCGAAGGCTAAGGACTTGTCCCCAAGAAATCAAGCCGGCGTTCGCTGCGCCCAACAGGCAGACCACCGCACCTGGTCGCGATTTTTCGGATAGCGTACACGATACGGTATTCCGTGCCACAGAGCATACCGCGGTACAACGCAAAACGGTGTTTCCGATGCCGTACACCTGACTGTGTGTCTCTCGCGTATAGGATAATATGGCACGAGACCGCGCGATGCAGCAAACGACGGTACGAAACGGAGTCGTATGATACACGGTACGGTACCTGACTGTTTGTTTCTCGCGGGCGCTGGTGTTCGTTGCAAATGATGTTCCCGTTCGCCCACCAGTTTTCTACCCCTTGAATCACGTTCTCCTGCTCGCGTAAAACAAACAAAAGCATCGGAAGGGTTGTTGCCGCAGCTGTCATAGCAATAGCACAGCATTGTTGTGTATTTTCGCGTTCAAAAGTCGTGATGAACTGAACCCGATGTCTCATCATTTCGAAGCAATCTGGTGCTGTAGCAGGCGACTTTTCGGGGGCCGTGGATACGACAAAGACATGAAATACAACGAAGTTACGAGAAACACGAATACTACAACCAATTGTAGCAACTAAAGGGAGCAGGAACAGGACTCTACGTGCCGTGGTGGAGCAAGGACTGAATCAAACCAGCGGTGGTGTTGGAAGCTCAGGTTGCGGCGATGGCGGTAACAAGGCTCTGGTGAAAAAGGCCTCGAGACACATTTTCCTGTTCTTTCAGCAATCGGTTAAACAAATTCCTCCAAACCTTCATGCCGGTTGGACCGCTGGATCACATCGATAGGATAGGATATTATATTTGGCGTCACTGCCTTTCCAGGTGCTTGCTGAAGATCTATTCCACGAGTCCCGTTCCGATAATCAACCGACGTGGATGGACACGAAACCACAACAGCGGGTATGTATCATTGCCTTGTGCTGCAGTTCGCAGGGTACTTGCTTGTTGCTTTGCCATAGTGGTCAGTCTGCTTGACCATGCATGCCATCACCTTCCTGTAGCTCTCCTCCTTTTTTCGGTAGTAGTCCTGCAGGTTCTCCTCCTTGATCCCCAGCCTGGCATCACCGCACAGCAGTGTCGCGGTGGAGGCGAGAAGAAGCACGATAAAAGGCAGGGGTAAGAGAGTGAGTGTGACTATTTTCCCATGTTCATGACGTAACGAAGAGCCCAGGCCCTTTGCTTTTGGAAGGAAACATGCTCGAGGGAAGAGACGGCGAGATCAAGGTGTCAGTATTGAGCCGCATGGTGGCCCGACCCCATTGGGCGTATAATTCTCATCTATCAAGCAACGACATCATCGTCATCAGCGTCAATAACACTAGCCTGGCAGGAGCAACAGGAAACACCACAATAGCAAATGACGCAACATGCTCACTCACGCGCCGTCCCAATCGTTGGTGTAGTCTTTGTTAGCAAACGGCGCAAAGACGACGAGCCGCTTGTTGCGTATCACCACCAGAATGCCGCACCGCATGTGGTGGAACAGATATCTGTCAATAATCCCGAAATGACGCATGGAAAAATCACGATTGCTGTGCTCTCAGGGTTCACGTGTTCTCCTTTTAAATTAACTTTTCGTGCGGGCAGCAGCACCACACCCAAGAAGTTGTCACACACTAGATAAAAGTCCTCGGGCAAAGCGGTCGATAGAGTGATAAATGGGTGTGGAGTAGCTCGAACCGGGTGACTGGTGGGAAGTGGGTGCTCCTTGCAGGGCATCAGCAGTATTGCACATGTCACTGTACGACAACAGTCTCGCATGTCTTCCGGACGCGCATCCGTGCACCGCCACCCGCCTCCACATGACACAAACTACACTGTTATTTTGACAGGGCCATAAAACTTGTTGCTCATCAAATCATGCACACGGTATACTGTACCGTGATCTGTTCTCGAGCAGTGGAAGGAAAATCTGGAAGGGAGATTCAGGTGTAAGACAACGACGGTGTAGGAATGCCGTGTGACCCCCACTACGAACGGCGACAGAGGCCAAGCAAACACACACCCAAGAACAAAACCTACACACAAACAAATACCTAAGAGTAACCGCACACGCCGTATGCAGCGTCCAACTCCTACCTCAGGGTGTTCTCCGTCGACGCGCACGATAGGAACCCCAGCCGCCTTCCCGAAGCGTCAACGCCCCCCCCGTGAAACGGCAGATCGAGCCGCTTCCTCACCCCCGCCAACACCTCGGCGTGCAGCGGCCACTCTCCCGATGGCTCGGCCTGTCAATGACGTGGAATATCGATATCGTCAGACACAAGAATTGTGCACGCACGCACAACCTTCAATCGTGGTGGATGCAGGCTAGCTACTCTTGGATCAAGGTGCAGACGTAGGCTAACCTACAGCAGGCATTGAGGCCGAGGAGAACCTGTGTTGTGACCCGTCTCTCGTTATGGATATATTCGGATGGCACCGCGGCACAGAACGCAAGTAGGGGGCCAGCTAGAACCGCTAGCCAAAGCACACCACCTTGCGGGTTTCGTTTACCAACGTCTCCTGTGTTTTTTTTTTGGTGTTCACTTCAAATCAGCGCTCACGGCACTATTAATAGTGCCGTGTACTCCAACCCGTGGTCACACAGAAGGGCCCCTCTCTACCCTCCCCTCCTGCGTTACTTTACCTTCGATTTTTAATGCGAGAGGAGTTCAGCACTCTCTTCCCTCTGTGTACACACGAACTAGCGCTATCCACTAGGCCAGGAGCGGAAGCGAGAGAAAGACTCACTTTGCAAGAAAAGCTCGCTTACGCCGGGATTCGAACCCCTGACCTGACCTCTAGAAGGTTTCGAGGTTACCAACTAGACCACCGGGGCGACCGGCATCAGCAAACGGATGGAAGCCATCGACCGACGAAAGGATTCTGGTTGCGGAGAAGACATGACTCGGGGTCTACAACACGCACGTTTGCGGCAGCAAGGGTTCATCTGATTCGTACGATATGCAATTCTTCTAGGTCATGCCTTGCCGACATAGAAGCGCTTGGAATAAAACGGAAGACAAGTCTACCCTGCCGCCCAAAGCAAAGCATCCGAGCATCCAAGTACAGCAGGGAGCAACGAAGAAAATCCGGCCTTTGTTCGCACGCAATGTGACGGTCGCACGGATGAGGGCGGAGGAAAAACAGCTTGAAACCACAAGCACGGGTTAACCCGCGAGTGGACAGAGCCAGCCCAAGAAACGAGGCGTCACAGGGAAGGGGTCATAGCGACAACAAGGGGATAAAATTGTCGATTGTGATTATATCTGGATGGAGGGCTGAGAAGTAAGGCATCATTAAAAGGCTGTGTTTGCCGTCGTACTGTAGATACAGCTTCCCCCACAAGGAGTACCCCCGTTCACACAAAACAATACAGAGGTAACCGCGAAAAAACGGCGAGGATGATGCTAACCGATACCAACGCATCCTACACTTTCTGGTCTGGCAGCGGAGGCTACTATTCTCGCCCCAACAGCCCTCACGCACCCTTAACGATTTCAGCGTATGCATTCGAGGTGGCAGGCACAACATCCAACACCCACATCGCCGAGGAAAACGTTTCGGTCGGGGTCAAGCGGCGCGGCCTTCCGGAAGGGGGTCTTCTTCCAGATGTCGCGCAAGCAGGGGAAGAGGTACTGCTCCAGCTGCCGCCAGGTCACCAGGGTGGTGAAGATCTGCTGCATCCAGGGGTAATCGGGGTTGCTTCCCTCCTGGCAATGCTCCCGGACGAACCGCTTACAGTCCTGGTGTAGCAGTACGGGTAGGCCGGGCACACGGGCGCGAAAGGAAAGGCGTTGTTGTGACGAGAACGATGAACGCCGGCGGCTACTGCTGCTTGTGTATGCATACCAGTGACGATGTGTCTGGCTAGTTCAAGCGAGGGGTTGCGACTCCGCAGGCTTAGCTCCACAAGCTTTGTTAATGGCTGTGGCGGAAAACATATTGTACCAGGTATGTGGTACCTGCACGCATATCTGTAGACGAGTGCTGTAGGTAAATACGTAAGATACCATACCCCCGGAACCATTTGAAACCGCCGATTCGTGGAGGGTGAGTTGCTGATGAAGGGCATCAACGATTCTTTCCCTGGACCTGGTGTCAACAAACAACGACTGTGTGGTTTGGTTGTCAGCACAGCTCACGCCTCCGACAAGCAAAACTCGGCGGGTGTCGCATTGCTGCTGTGAAAGGGGCTTATAATGCCTGTACCTGCCGTCACAACGGGGAAACAACAGCAAAACAAAACAACATTCGTCTGCATGTCACCTACGGAGGCCGTTCCGGGCTCGTCCAAATTACGTACAGAGTAGACAGCACACGCGGCGCAGCACAGACCAAGAAGGTACGATTCCAACAGGCAACACACACAGCTTTTCTTCTGTACCTCTTTGGTCTCGAACCGCATGCCAGCTGGGCAGGCCTTGAAGATGCTGTTGTTGACGAGAGGATGTACGCTGTCATCGTCCTTATCGAACAAACCCCGCAGGCTTGGCCCTGATGTTGCTTCCATTCCTTTCAAGGTACAGAGTATCAAGAGAGCACCGCGTGCTAATACTGCTCCGGGGATAAACCGTCGCCCTCACGACTCCTTCTCAGGCAAGAGGGCCGTACTCCTCTGGCAGCAGGAGCAAGCGAGATAGCTACTGCTTCTGGGGGGGACTCGGCCCCGCGCCCCGGAAGAACGCGCGACAACGACCTGGCGGGACTGTCATTTTCAGCCCATCAGAAGAGCGTAAAATACCGGCGGGGGCGAGATGGGGCGTGGGACACACCCCGGTGTAACACTACATGTACTTCCCTGCCCTGGGCTATCTACACCGCAGGCTGTGCTCCAGGTGCAACTTCCCCGAAACTGGATCATGACAGCCAGGAGGGCCACGTCCAAAGCTAAGAGCCCCCTGATGCAAGCGAAGCACGCGTTGTGTGCTGTAACATGCGGGGCTGCTGCGGTAGCCGCGTTCATCCCAATCCCTCATGTGCGACCCGTCACCGCCGGTCGCTTGCCGTGCGCCGCTGCGAGTCCTCCCAGCCTAGAGACCAAGAGAGAGCCTGTATGCCGGTCGGCGGGAGTAGTGACTCTCTACGGAACAACGGCCGAAGCAGCCGGAGATCCCGCTGCTGTCTCGTGCACCAGCGTTGCGCCGAGAGCCGTGACCCCCGTTGTCCTGATCTGTTCAGATAGAGCGGTACTCCAGACCTTTGCGGAGCACTTATGGTCAACTGACAGCTCTACTACGGGTGCAAGCAGCATTGTCGTCGACCTGGGAGAGATGAACGACGACCCGCGCGGCGCGGAGCTAGCGCTTGCCGGGAGCAAGGCTGACGGAGTCTTTGTGTGTCGTTCCACGCTGTGCCTCGACCACCCCGACCTCAAGAGCATGGTGCATGCGCACCCGCTCACGGTGCATCTTGCGCTGGATACCGACGACACCGAGACGCTCAAGCGCTGCGAGCAAGCGACCAAATACACGGTCGTTGTGGGCGACGGGAGGGTGGAGGAAGACTACGCCAAGACCGAGCTGTCGCGCTTGGTTGCGTTCTCGCGGAAGCCGAAGCCGTCTCCTGCGGACGTGGCGCTGGACATGGGCAAGAACACCTTCTTCCTGTCGCTCACGTTCGAGGACTTCTCGCTGCACACGGACCTCCTACCGACTCTGACGGAAGGCGTGGATGCCATGGAGCTGCGGGTGGACCTGCTAGCCGACAACGAGGATCCGTACACCGTGCTGAGGCAGCTCTCCATCTTGCGCCGACACACCGGCTACCTGCCGGTCGTCTTCACGATTCGCTCGAAGGGACAGTGCGGCGCCTTCCCCGACGACCCCGAGAAGATCTTCCGGCTGGCAAGGTGGGGTCTGCGCGCCGGCTGCGAGGTGATGGACGTGGAGGCGAACTGGCCGATTAGCTACAGGGAAGGCTTGATCCGAGAGGCAAGGGAGAGCTACCCGGGAGCGGTGTTGGTGGGTTCTTACCACGTTGTCGGAAGGAAGACGACGGAGGAGCAGGCGAAGGAGCTCTTCATGGAGTGCTACCACGGCGGCGCTGTGGATGGCGTCAAGGTGAGTGCATTGCTCGTGCGTGGTTTCGACAGAACGCGTCCATTTTCATGGGTTGTGGGCAAGCTACCTCCTTGTGCACATGTGACGTTTCTCAGTAGCCGATGATGTGAGTCTTGAGCTTTTGGCCAGTCACAACAGTTGGCTATTAGACCCTCATAAAAAAAAGGTCGTCTCGTTTATTAAGTTGACACGAGACAACCAACCCTCGTTTTTTCTTTGCTTTTGCTCTCGCGTACGATGCCTTTGTTTTTGCTTGAACGTGCAAGGTGGTCACAACCGCCTTCGAGCCCGAGGACAGCATCCGAGTCCACGCCGCCGCCAAATCGCTCGCCCTCCCCGTCCCCTACATCGGGCTCTGCCTGACCGAAACCGGGAAGCTCAGCAGAGTCCTCAACGAGCGCTTCACGCCCGTGACACACGAGAACCTCCCCTTCGTCGCCGCCCCGGGCCAAATGTCCTCCAAAGAGATCATGCACCACCGCGCGGAGCTCGGCCTTTGTGCTCCTAGCTCCTTTTTCCTTTTCGGGTCGCCGATCTCCGCGTCCCCCAGCCCAGACATGCACAACGCTGGGTTCCGTAGCAGCGGCCTCCCGCACGAGTACTTTCTCTGCGAGGGGGAAGACCCGGCGATTATGGCGGAGGCGCTGTCTAGGCCTGACTTCGGTGGGGCGTCGGTGACCATTCCCCACAAGCAGAACGTCTTGCCCTTGCTGGACGAGGTGAGCGAGGCCGCGGAAGCCATCGGGGCCGTCAACACTGTCATCGTGGGCACCGATCCGGAGACCGGTGCTCGACGCCTTAGGGGCGACAACACCGATTGGCTCGGGATATTGAGGCCGGTGAAGGCGCGGCTGGAGGCGTCGTCAGGGTGGGAGCAGGGAAGGGGTGGGGTTGCTCTAGTGGTCGGGGCGGGCGGGGCGGCGATGGGAGCGCTATTTGCCATGCAGCGCTTAGGGCTTGAGGTTGTCGTGTACAACCGTACGCCGTCAAAGGCGGAGGAACTAGCGGGGAGATTTGGAGGCACGGCGGTCTCTGCGCTGGATGCGGAAACCTTGGAAAAGGCATGCGGGGCTGCTGCTGTGAATGTTGTGGTATCTACTATTCCGGCTGCTGCGGAATTCACCTTGCCTGACTACCTTTTGGAGAGCAAGGTGAGCGCTCCGGGCCACGAAATGATGATGACGCGGTCGTTGTGTGTAGCTGGGGGAATTTTCATGTGTGAATGGTTGGTAAGCCCCGGTGTTTTTTGGGGACCGTTACGATCGCTCCCTCTTATACCTCAACCTTTTTGTTTGCTTGGGAGCCCCACCTAAAACCACTGCGTTTGCAAAACCTGTCTCAGCTTTTGAAACATGAAACAGCTTGTTTGTTTTTTTCCATCCTGTGGGTATTTACGGCGTGCAAAGCAAATGCCCGTCTCGACTCGCATCCACTTGTTCCTCTGCCCGGCCTTACGAAACCTTCGCCTTCCTTGCCCTTGTATTCCCCGGCTCCTCAGCCCGTAGTATTCGACGCGGCATACAAGCCGGCATTGACATCGCTCCTGGCGCAAGCCAAGGAGGCTCAGTGTCCGTACGTGCAGGGAGCGGACATGCTAGTGGAGCAGGGCTTGGAACAGTTCCAGCTGTGGACGGAGCGACGGGCTCCGAGAGAAGCGATGGAAGGCGCGGTGTTCGCCAAAGTTGATCGGATATAGAATCTCGACCGAGGACTCAAGTTTGCGGCTGTGGGACAGCAACAATGTGTAGCATCTCTTTCGCTTGACCGAAGTGCTGTACAGAGGTTTTGCTACGTGGGAGGTTTAGCCTTTGCGCGTCCTCAGCAACTGACGGAGACATCTTCAAATGATGAATGTGCGAGGCACATACCATTCCCTTAATCTACACGTGCGATTTACCCAACGCGTTTGGCGTGTATCAGACAATCCCCGACATGTTATTTGGCGAGGGCGGCACCATCACATGCAAGCCCTCGCCTAGCCTGTCGGCATGTCCCGCGTTGCTCAAGTGTCGTCTACTGGTATTGTTTTCGGCTACTTGGGCCCCGAACGGACGTGTCGATGGCGAAAGAGACCGACCTACTTCTACAAGACAATGAACGCTGCAGCGACTGGTCGGTATACGCGATAATAAACTCTATATCTACCACGCTTATGTTGTTCACGCCTCGACAGTAAGTGCGGAATGGCCACCGCATTGAAAGCGTACTCCTTTCCCTGGAAAGCGTGCTTACAAACATGAAGTAGACGCAAGATAAATTCATGCAGCTCTCCTCAACACCCAAACACATGTGTTTCCACCTCGTTAGCCTTGACTTGCATAGAGCAATATGCTTTTGTAGCAATATTACGCAAGAACAGGTTCCCTTTTCCGGGTACAGAGCTGAAAGCTGTGCCCAATATATCCTTCCATCCTTCCAATAACATTTCGGTAAGGTGGAGGTCCTCTTGCCCCCCTCTCCTCTCTCAACCCCAGCAATTGTCCACCTGCTCACGACACGACAAAGCACGGGCCAACAAAACGGCAGAGGGATGCCCCGAGCAAAGGAGCAGGAGACAAAGGGTAATAATGACGACACCGAAACGGACCAATCACGACGACGCGGGGATGACAGCATTGTGCCTACGACGTAAGAGTCCTGCCGAGGCCACCTAGAACAGCTGGTAGCTTGATCTATCGCAAGGTAAGACAAGGGGGTTGAAAATGTTGCCAGTTACCCGTATCTCAACCGCAACGTGTTCTTGCAACCCTAATGTGTCACCCAACTACAGCTGTTCGGCTCGTCTTTTCCTCAAACCAAACGATCGCTCGTTTTCCACGTTTCAAGGCATGCTGCGACTGGGGTTGTTTAGATGCCGCGACGCACCGTGTTAGGCCCCACATCATGAAACACAAGTTTTGAAACGAAGAACGAGATGCAAGCCTAGCAACACCAACAAGAGAAGCGTCAGTAATGCCTGTTGTGCAAACTCTCACGGACCATTTCAGGGTGCAGGTCGACGATGGTACCCGTCATCATCGCGCTAGCGTCGGAGAGGAGGTGTCCAACCGTAGCGGCGATATCCACGGGCCGAAGTAACCGCCCCATGGCATGCCCCTTTTGGTGATGGCAGAAAAATCCGGCCGGTGCGCGATCAGTAGAGCGATTGTGGGTGGTGACGAAATGAGCACCAGGGGGGGACTTGAAACGGTTGGCGAAGGGGCACATTGCCCGTCCCGCAGAAACTTGTTTTGTCGGATGAAGGTACAAGAACAAAGATGTGTTGGTACACACGTTGTTTGTGTAACGATCAGCACTTCAATCCCCCGACTCTTTTTTTCTAGCGCTCAAGACCAACTCAAGAGGCAGAGCCTTCACAAGAGCATCGTCGCTGTCCTCGGTAGAGCAAACTCATTAAAAATTGTGACGGAGTGCGAAGCTAGAGACAGAACAATATTCCTGCTCTCCAGCCTGCGGCGAAAAGTCTTGCCGTGTAGAACAGCTTCATATTTGTAGAAGGAAATTCTTTGAGGCGGAGAGGGATGATCTTGAAACATTGGAGCGCACGGAGTCAACGAGCGGCGTTGCGATATAATCTTTAAAACTACTTAAATAGTAGCAGCGCAACAGTGCGCAGAATCAATCGCAAATGTCTTGCTCTATCGCCGTGTCGATTTATCTCGCGTCATCACTATGTTTCCGCACAGGCTGCCTTGTCAGGCATACTCAACTAAGAAAACACGGTGACAGAAACTCCACAGCAGCAGTAGCAGCAGCAGCAACGGCAACAGCAACGGCAACAGCAAAGAGTTCACACCTTATCGGCGTCTTCGATCCAGTTCTCGCTCCCCATCTCAACCCGCTGAAGGACGTGTTCGTTGTCCGTCAACGTCCACCCCACGTTGATTGCGTTTACCCTGCCCCTCGACGCGCGTGGTGAGGATGCTTAATACTTGACAAGTTTGGCAAGGTGTTCGACAAAGCCAGGTTCACCAAGGAGCTATTGTGCCCCGACCCTCGTTGGAGCCAGAACGTGACGTTCACAACGAGTCACACCCTAATGGGCGAACATCGACTTCATACACGCCCTCTGGTTTCCACAGGGATGTGATGGACTACTCTGGGTCATCACGAGGGTGTCCCACACCCATACACACTACAGCAATATCGGACAAAGCCACAGTCTCTACAAGTGCAGTCTGTATCCCACAGCACCTCTGATTTGCAAAAACGAGTGTACGTCGCACCTGATGCGGGCCCCTTTGAGCTCGTAGGCGTGCATCTTCGTGCAGGCATTGAGGGCTGCCTTCGATACGGAGTATGTGCTGACTTTCGGGATGCCGCCATGGGCAACGACTGCACGGGTACGAGAAAGTGTCGGGGGTTGGATATCAAGGCAAGACCTGCAGACAAGTTGTAACTCCATCGATAAAAATTGACAAATTGGCGGTCAAACGGCAGGTAGAAAGCTTGTTCCTGTCTACGGCATGTCACGACAAAAGACGCTTTCCGTTTCCCTTGCACCTGACTTGATAAAGCAACGCGTACTTGGAGGAGGATGGCTATCGATGATGACATGATCAACGTCAAACAGGGTCAGTTCGGGAAACAAGCAAAAACGCTCTTCTTCCTACTCCATTTTCCATCTTTGGTTTCCAGAATCTCACCACTGGAGATGTTGACGATCGATCCTGGATGACCTTTACTCCTCATCGACTTGGACACCGCCTGGAAACGATAGACGGACTAATTTAAACAAAACAAAACAGCGCCGGTCTAAATTTGGAGGGACGGGAGATATTCCTAACTATGACAAGAAAAATAGTCTTGGGGCAATCCACGCACAAGTTTATTGGCGCTAACGTGTGGAAGACACTGGGAGCGGCAAGACCTGTATCAAGACACGTACCGCGCGACTTTAGAAATCACGGGGCTGTTTGGCTCCGTTTGTTCTGTCCCATGAAGTATGCCGTGCAGAGCATAAGCATGCAAAATCTAGAAAAAAAGCAATACCCTGCAGAACTGCTCGAGGATTTTGAAAAGATCGGGTCTCGTGTCGAAGCGCTGGAGGTCCCCACAACATGCGCCTCAGGAATACCCGCCGTCCCCTGTCGTGCCACACGATCGGCAAGAGCGCCCCACCTGGACCAGGAGGAAGGGACCCCGGACATTCGTGTTCATCATGCGATCCCACACCTCCACCGTCGTGGTGTCGAGCGTTGCTCGCGCTGTCCATGCGGCACAATTCACCTGGCGCACACACACATGCACCCGAATCGTTGGATTTGGCTAGATCGAGGTAGATTGATCCATCGCAGTCAGAAAAGCCGCCCCGAGCGAGGGGGGTCGAACGCGAACGCTCAAAAGCAAATCACATAAGTATATTGAGAATGTTGATATGACTGCAACAAGCAGTTATGATCAGACATGGAACTTCATGGCAACAGATATGTAGACTGGGAATTCCTTCGGCTTCAGTGTAGGTAAAACTGTAGGAACCGCTACCAAGGGGTGTAACCGAACACAGGGGTTACATGCACACCCCAGGAAAGCCTATTTAGACTCTCACCAGACCATCGATGCAACCCATTAGTCGATCTGCCTCCGACACCAGTCTGGAGCAGTCTTCCTTGTTGGCAACGTCCGCCGGCACGAAGAAGAACTGCACATTGTATTGGCAAAAATGATACACGCCATCACAGCAGCAGTCAGACAACGAAAAAGAACCACAGGTGAACAAACACACTAGAAAAACTCCGACAACAGTGCCTGGCAAGCACACGGGAAAGCAACACTTCGATTAAAACCGTCCCTCTCTCTTTACATATCCCACGACGAACTCATCTGTGATCTGAACACGAAGCACCCCCTTCCTCGCACCCGCCTATGCCCGGCCCAACAAGATTGCGATCATCAACCAACAAGACGGGCAAACTCCAGGCCCAGCGACAAGGTTAAGATTTCGACCTACAAATGGTTCCACCACTTGCCCGGCAAGATGGTGTATGCTCGGTTAGTTGAGCGACGGCCTTCTCTCCCGTATCCTGGCTCCGCGCGCTGATGGTCACCGCGCTTGCGCCCGCTTTTGCGATGCTTATTGCCACGATCGAACGAGCGAGTGCAGAGGGCGCACGTATGAGTTGGTGTCTTCAATGCATGAGGAAGCTTGCCGTGGCGATGACAGCAAGGGCTTGAGACGTCGAGGCCTCGTTCATAGGTTGCTCGTGAGGCCGAGCCAATGCTTCAGCTCTGCAAAAAGAACGAGGGCTGGTACACAAGCAACATATATGTATGAATTTTATTCAGAACGGCCGCAACCGAATTGAAACAGCTTGATATCTCGAAACTAGTAGCGTTATCCTCTATCATCCACTCTGTACCCCCCCCCCCCCCCNTTCTCACTTGCCTTCAACCTGTAGTCTCTTTTTTCCTTCCTACAGACTTGCCAATGCGAAATAGAGTGCCGGCGTGTTGTACACAGTCGTCATGGCGGCGCTACCGACGGACTGTCACATGGGATCCAATAGTATGATTGCTAAGCACAAGGCAAGGTTCATACCAGGCTGAGATTACGAGGCCCATTCCTTGAGTGCCTCCGGTAACCACGAACATTTTTCCTGCTCCAGGTAGCACAAACCATGAGGCAGGGCGTGTAGGGCACGACACGACACGAATCAGAAAGGTCAAGATGTGGAAGCCTAGACGTAGATCAGAGAGTCGCACTGCCCTATTCAGACACACCTTGCTCGCTCTGGGACATCGCTCTGTTGTCGGTGACATTCAAAATCCAACCTTTTCAGGTCGTGCGCTTTGGCTTCTCTAAGGTTTAGTTGCGGTTGCACTAGCTGCTAGCAGTGTTGTGTGCGAAGGTCCCAACCGTGCCTCAGTGAGGGGATAGAAACACACCGAAATGGTATGACAGAGACAGAGAAACAGCCAACACACACCAATGCACGCCCGTTATCAGTACACGTATTCTACAACCCCACAGACATTCTATCAACATGCCCACAATGACCCGGTCGCCCCGGTGGTCTAGTGGTATCCTCGTAATCCGCTAGTCGCAGAGGTCGTGAGTTCGAATCCCCGTGGGGTGAACAAAATCACGAAATTCGCGGGTGAAAGCGAAATATAGCTAAAAAGCTCTCGTGAGTACCAAACTTCGACGTTTGCACCGTTGACGACGGAAAGGGACGGCTGGACCCTTCTCGCGATAATAATATAATTCAGCACGCACCGCAGGAGGAAGGTGGGGCATGAAAAGAAATAAAAAGAAGAAAAAAGCCCTGGTGTTTACCCCCTCCTGTGTGACCCTGGATGGTTGTAATTGTACGAAAAAATACTCTGAAAAGTGTAGTACTCTACATACGCTGAAAAGTGTAGTATACGTCTCACCACGAAAAATGGGGAGACTGTCGCCATAATGAAAAGGACGAAAGCACACACACACACACACACGGTCCCAGTTCATGGTAAATAGGAGTGTTTTGTGTTTTCAACCGCACTAAGACTGACGTCTTTTCATTGGTCAGCCGGTTAGCGCGGTCGATGCTAATAATAAAAACACACACACTTCCGTACGGTGATGGGGCGAAGACATTTGTTTCCCCGCAGCATTGCTGGACCCACATGACGAGGCACAACTACCCGAATTTGCGGTAGTTACTTGAACAAGCTCCACTGCTCGTGCTTGCTGAATACTACTCAGTACATGCGGAAGATACATAAGAGAGAGCCAGTCCGCATCTAGTCCGTAAAGCAGGGTGTGTGGCCCGGTCTTATCTCCCAACTTGCCAGAATTACACAATCAGCGCCCATGTCGAATTCACATCCGAAAGTGAGAGAGTGTTTGCATCTACCAAATAAAACGCACCTGTAACGTCAAACGTGGGAACGGACAAGGGTGGTGCGTCCTTCTGGGCGGTCGGGCCGGCCGAGGCAGGGAACGCCAGGGGATCCGTTGGGGCAGACATCACGACGAGCTAAATTCGTCCTCAACTGCGGCCGTAAGGGAGATGTGAACGAAGGCGCGGTAGGTGGGAACAAATAACAGTCAGGAAACTCAGAGGGGGAGAACGAGTGAAATTTGCCTGACTTTGAGAGCATTTGCCTCTTTCTGCTGCTGTATGCTACAGACGAACCACGCTTGTCTGCGCAGGTATCGGTATGTTCATGAGGTCTGAGGTCTGTTGTGTTCAATGTGTTGAGCACGTTGTACCAGTTATTGGAAACAACATGCTATGCATACACATGCAGACAACATAAGGACTCACTGAAAGTGCGGGGGAGGTATGTACGCTTGCACCGTGGTAGATAAGCAGCAGTTGGGCAGCGGGGGGACGAGAGGTGGTACACAGCAGGACTGGAATACAGGAATACAGCAGTAGGGGCAGAGGTGCATGGCATGAGGTTCAGGTCGCGCTTCGGCTGCACCGGATGCGGCGAAATACCTAACAGTCCGGGGTAGGGTGAGAATTCCGCGGAGCCCCAAGTGATCGGGCGTTGGTTGGTGGTTCGTGCCTGGTGCATCAGTCAGGCACCTGAGTTACTACCCACCGCGGCAGCCAGATCCTTCCCCATCCAAACCATCGTAACTCTCTTTTCGGAGTGCTCGTGCATGCCGCAGATTAGCCAAATCTGACCCGCACCACAGTCGGTCCGATCACAACTTCACTCATAAAAAAAGTGTGTGGTGATGTGTGACAAGGGCACCTCTGGGCTCGGAGTGAAGATGACCTTGCTGGCGAGAAGGGACCTAGCGAAAGTGCGGGAGATGGAAGACGGAGGGGGAAGAAGATGGAAAATCTGCACGGATCACGGGTTTGTCGCGATGATGGAGCTTCCGTGCGGCACCGGCATGTCCTGACATTAGAATAGCGTAGGTGGCTTATCTTGAATAGCGTAGGTGGCTTATCTTGTGTGCAGCCACGGACCGTTTCCTTACCTCTTTCTCTCTCGATTTGAAGCGGACCCGTGTAGTCTCTGTGTTTTTCTGGGGGTGTCTCTAATCTTGGACGGCCACCCATTCATTGCTGAAAATGACGAATCGAGAACCTGCGGCGTGAAATTTGCTGTGCGGTTGTGAAGTTACCGTTGGGTATGAAGCCTCTTTCGACCGAGCCAGTTTGCGCACGAGTTAGGGAACCCATGAATTGAGTCCGAGAGTTTGCGATGACGAACCATTAAGGCCGCTTCTAACTGCCCTCGCACATACTTACCTCGCGGGGTGGTGATGACGATAATATCTTGAAGGTTCAATGTTCGGAGCGAACATTCATCTCTCTCCCATTCGTTCCCGCTTTTATTTGAGCTGGCCTAGTCTGGACGTTGCTTTGCCCCGATGTGAACGGCGTTTTTTTTTGCGCGCGCGAATCCGGAACAAGCGAGGGCGATGATTACCACTTTCGAGGCTAAGGCAACTTTGCAGTGGCTAACACCCCGAAAACCGCATATGAGCCCATCTGATAAAGGAAGCAAAGAGCGTAGACTGCTGTAATCGATGCTCTAGACTGCTAGTCGTTGTTGGCCGAAACAGCTCTGAGTCTTTCGTTGGCCATGGACTGCTCCCGGACGATCATGCTTGTATATACGCGATACGTCATCTCATGCTACGACCACGGGCAGGACCGTGTTCTGTGATAAGACGCTTACACGGTTGCGTTCTTTGTGTGGGACGCCCTTCGTCATCGCAACCTTGGCGCGATGCCCCGTGAAGGATGAGGTCGTAGGGTGCAGAATTCCTGGTACAAGCGGCATGAAGCTACCGCTACGATATCTCGTTACTTGAGCAGCACAGTCAGTGTGTTGCTGTCGTTTGTTGCTGTTTGGCCAGAACATTCTTGTTTGTTGTTGCTTGCTTTGCACGTGGGATGGCCTGTCGTTTCCTAAACTCACTCTCGACACCCATCGTGCAGAGGGTGTTCTGCTTCTACTACTCCTGCAGACATCCTACCCTTTTTGGATGTCTCCTACGGAACATCGCCCGCGGGACAACAACCAACAGCAACCGCCGGAGTCAGTTACTGTTGCACACACACGCGATTTGTGCCGGCGTGGGTCGCGACGCTGGGCCCAAGGTGAGAACTTGTAGGTTGGTGTTGTTTTTATGTTTCCTGGTGACGGCCAGCTGTAGACCACGTGCAGATGATGGGCTCGCCTAGAGTCATCACTTGCGTGCAGTCACACGACGCGAAGTCAACCACGACATGTATCGTTGCGAAGGCGTGCCGATTAGGGTAGAAGTCAAATGACAGATATCTTGTTAATTTGATCCATCTTTAAAATCGTGGTATTTTGAATGATTGGCTCTGTCTCTTCCGTCGTTTCGGCCGCCACGAAACTGACACGCAGGAGTAAGTGCCTGTTGATACCCTAAATCAGCAGAGCTGCACCAGCTATCTGTCAGGCTATTGTGCCCCTCCCGTAGTTACCACTCGCCTGCTGTCATGCGCGCGGACAGAGAAGAAACTTGTCACCCGCGGGTAGGTGTCCAACACTTTGAGTGGCTCGCTGTGTCTCTTCCGCTGATTTCGTCGCCACGAATATGTACCCACATGCGGGAATTCACCAACCAACCCGTACAGTTGCATTCCCTATTGGTGTTGACATCAAATGGCTGCATCAATCGTCAGGCAAGCGAGCGTGTCCCTCTCGGCGGCTAAGCCAGGTGACAGCCAGCGAAACGGGTAAGAAGAGATTCGCCGGTCCCTTCTTCTGCCGGGCGCGGATCGATCGGTCTCGAAGCGCCATACTACCAGATGCTCGACCTGACGGGAGGAGTTAGGTTCTGGAGCGGGATGCCCCGTCACGTGTACCTTCAAGGCCACGAGGGAATGCGCGGTTTCAGGGACGAGTTGTCGAATGAGTCCGACCTACCCCTGGCTTGTCCTTGCCACCCCACGCCTCTCTCGTGGCCTTGAAGGTACATGAACGGGGCAACCCGTTTCACCGTTCGAGGTGTTGGCGCCGCCCCCTAAGGTCGAGCATCCGGTAGTACGAAGCTTCGTGGCCGATCGTCGTCCGCCAGAAGAAGAGAGAGAAGGGATGGGAGCGAACATTGAAAGAGCAAGAAGCCCCCAGAGTTCGAAGAGCAAAGTGAGTGCATTGTTGTGTGTGTCGCGTGCTGCATGAATGTGTGCGGTACCGGCCCTCCTGCATTTTTTGCTTTGTGCTGCTGGCCGCTTGTTTGCCTCATGTCCATATTCATGTGTCCGTTTCATTTCGTTGCAACTGTTTTTGTAGTGCTTTGTCTCTGTTCGTAAGAACTTTTGGTGGATATTGTGTCGGTGCCCCCTTTTGTTTCCTTTCTCCTTCGTTATTTTGTTATTTTTCCTTTCTTACCTCTCCCTCTTTCGTTTCCGGATTCAGGTGCAGCCCATGCCTGAAGCCCACGATTGGCCCATAACCGACCCTCAGCTTGGACTGCAGCAGTACATGGTCATAATGGCGCCGCCTCGAGTTATTGTTTTTCCGTATGCATATGCGTTGAGCATTCGCGTTCTTCTATATTGCGTGTACTCTAGTGAGACCATCGGTTATTTTGTTTTTTTTCCTTTCTTACCTCTCCCTCTTTCGTTTCCGGATTCAGGTGCAGCCCATGCCTGAAGCCCACGATTGGCCCATAACCGACCCTCAGCTTGGACTGCAGCAGTACATGGTCATAATGGCGCCGCCTCGAGTTATTGTTTTTCCGTATGCATATGCGTTGAGCATTCGCGTTCTTCTATATTGCGTGTACTCTAGTGAGACCATCGGTTATTTTGTTTTTTTTCCTTTCTTACCTCTCCCTCTTTCGTTTCCGGATTCAGGTGCAGCCCATGCCTGAAGCCCACGATTGGCCCATAACCGACCCTCAGCTTGGACTGCAGCAGTACATGGTCATAATGGCGCCGCCTCGAGTTATTGTTTTTCCGTATGCATATGCGTTGAGCATTCGCGTTCTTCTATATTGCGTGTACTCTAGTGAGACGTTGCGATGGTAGGATGGGTAAACAGACCTAGACATGTGTGTAGTGGGTAGCGAGGTTTGTTTACGCGAGCGAGTCTTCCTTGCATACGATTTGCATGGGTGGTGGGATGGGGAAGCGCTGTGGGGGATGCACGATGGGGGTGAGAGGTTTGTTTACGCGAGCGATTTTTCGTGCGTGTGCATGTGGTGCTGTTCTGTCTCAGGGTGACCGATCGAAACTGTTTTTTTTCGTACACATTCAAACCAAAGAGCTCGGTCATACACACAACGGCACTGAATGGTACGTGTTCAGTTGGCAACTTCGTGACTTTGGCTCGCTTGGTTACGGGTTCGAATATCTCATGCGCATGGTCTCTCGAGTCTCGAGTCCACACGACCAAGAGGGAAGAGGGACTGGACCCTTTGTTCGCGTCAGTTGTTGAAGGCATATACTGCAGGGCAAAGAGTGTAAAGAACAAAAAACTTCTGTCTTGGTTTGTGACCCCAGCTGGTAACGTCGGTGTGTACATTAGACCGATGCCGCCCAGCAGACAACACGCGGTTGGTTAGCGGGACGAAAAACATACGCATACAGCATCATGCAATTTCCCCAGCCGAGTCTCCAACGGCAACACGCCAAAAGCTTGGTTCAACTCAATGCAATCTTACCATCAAAATGGACTTTGTATTTTTTTCTTGCGCAAAGCGTGGTGATCGTGCGCCAGCGCGCATGTACTCTCTTTTGCCATTCATGATGCATTCTTGGGGCAACTTCTTGCAATTAGTTCGGTCTCGTGTGCGTCTCGATCAAATAATAGTAGCCCGACAGGAAGGGGAGGGGAAACCATGTGTACAGCAGCACAAGAGTAATACATGCTACTCTTGCACGCGCCTTGACCCCGCCCCACATGTACCCGCTGCCTGATTTTCCGCCCTTGCCGGCGATCTCTTTAGTCAGGAATTCCACCCCCGCCCCCTCATTACGCCTCCCGAACCAAGTGGGCGGTGGAACTCCCTTTTCAGGTGTAAGCGCGCACTCTGGGAACAAGAGCGTTGAAAACTGGCACACTACAGCAGTAGCACCATCGGATTTGAGGCCGTGCTGCAGGTACGGCCCTTCACCCGAAGTCACATTGATCGATGCCCATATTGTCCAAGAGATGTGTTCCCTTGCTGCTGGCAGATGCAGTACTTCTCGCCAACGTTGCACTTGGGTTCAAATTGAACCTGCACACGAGGCCAGCTACAGCACCGCTAACGAGACGATGCACGATGGACAGCATCTCGTTCAGAACGGAGGTTCACATCCCCACGTGGCCGCAGCATTCTCAGCTGGGCTATGCAGACTCTTTCTTTCTACTGGGATCATGCTTTAGCGATAACATTGGAACGCGGCTGTCCAACGCGAAGTTCCAAACTTCGATCAACCCCTCGCATGGTGAGTCAGTATTGCAGTGGGAGGCAGGCCCACATGGAGAGAAGATACCACAGAAGCGCGATGGTGGCACACACAACTCTCCGGCAGAAACCCCTGCTGTAGTTGTACAGCGGTACAGCACATTCACGAGTTTGGGTGCTGCCTGAAAGCAAAAAGTCCACACGCCGGACGGCACGCATGCTCTGTATTTCACGTGAACCGATGCAGCTGCTACTACACCCTCATTTGTAGGTAAAGCACGGAGCCCCTTTGCTACCCACCATTACAGACACAGGACAGCATGCTTGTTCTGCGCTGACGTGCTTGTTCTGCGCTGCTCTTATACTCTGCTGTCTCATGCTGCTGTTGTGGCCCTTCGCGGCACCATTGCTCGTCGACGTGCAGGACTCCTTTTCAGCCCGCTGTCGGCGGCAGCGGCTCTGGACAGGATGGTGTCCGGAGTTTTCTACGAGGAGGATGCCGAAGGGATGCTAGTGTTCAGCGAGGGCAAGGGGTTGTGGTCTAGCCTGGAGCATCACAGCTGTTTCTCGTCGACTTCGAGGTGATGTTGAAGAGAAACGGGATGGTAGAAGTGCGCGGCACAAATATGCCGCCGTTGGAACTATAGTGTATGCAGATGCCGGAACATGCGGCAATCAACGTATTGACAACCACCACCACGACAGCAACAAGAACACAACAACAACAGCACAACACATCAACGTCAACAAAAGCTTTTGATGTGATATTGGAGGTATCAAAAATAATAGCATGTTTCGCTTAAGGCCACCGCAACAGCAGTGGGAGGCCCGGTGGTCGACACCGCATTTACGGTGGCATGGTTTGTGCACAGAAACCAACATACCCAAAACTCTTCCATCAATTCCGTTCCTGCACACCCTGCCGACAACACATTTTAGGAAGGACTGCCTACGCGGGATGAATGCGGCCTTGGCAAAGGGTCGAGAAGACCTCCTTTCGGCTAGCTGTATCTTCATCACTCTCGGAACGGCGTGGGTTTTCCGACATCGCGAGGTATGCGTGCTGAGATAAGATACGTTGTTGTTGTTGTTGTTGTTGTTGTTGTTGTTTCTCACATTAGCACTATAGTCCACAAAAAATGGGGAGCCCGTGGTCTCAAAACCCGGCACATATCTACGAAGCCGCGGGGAAACAAAACAAAAATAGGGTACAAACCACTCGGAAAAAGAGAACAAAATGATAGAAAGAAAATAACAGGTATCGCACCAACCGTTCGAGAAAAGAGCCCTCGGAAACCGATCAAAATTTAATAAAAACAAAAATAAAGGAGAACGCTTCCTACACCCGCCCAAAAAATCAAAGGGTAACGTACCAGCACCAGGCACTACGCACCAGGGCATGGGAGTAACGGAGCAAACAGGACAAAGANCTACGAAGCCGCGGGGAAACAAAACAAAAATAGGGTACAAACCACTCGGAAAAAGAGAACAAAATGATAGAAAGAAAATAACAGGTATCGCACCAACCGTTCGAGAAAAGAGCCCTCGGAAACCGATCAAAATTTAATAAAAACAAAAATAAAGGAGAACGCTTCCTACACCCGCCCAAAAAATCAAAGGGTAACGTACCAGCACCAGGCACTACGCACCAGGGCATGGGAGTAACGGAGCAAACAGGACAAAGAGGCGGCAGATGGGCAGACAGCCAGACGTACAAAAACAAAGGCAACAGCAAAAGCGAGATCAAGGTACCCAACACAGCAGAGTAGGCAGGGAGGTCATGAGAAAAAAGAAACACAGCACAGAGGCCGAAGGCAATACAAAGGACATACATAAAGGAGTATAGCATACAGCAGGGAGGGGAACAGGGCGCAACAACATCAGCCGGGTACATCGTTCGCCACAAGTGCTGCCTCGGCCGACCTACTCGTTTCTACAACAGTGCCCGGTCGTGTGAGGCGCTCAAAAGTTGAACACGACATTCTACTACTGCTGTGTTGGTTAAGCATTCTCGTACTACCGTATTCCTTTATTTCAAACCAACATCTACTACCCGTCATGTATAGACTAGTACGTTACGTACGACGAGGACAGTTGGGGAGACTCTGCCTCCGGAGGCAACCAGTATCTTGCAATCCCGAAGCGTATGAAAGCAAGAGACCAACCTGATCAGGCGAAACATGTGTATGTCGACATCCACCGATTCTCTCGCCCGCATCCCCCCCTCGTTGCTCCCCAACAAACAGTCAGGCAAAGATGTGGCCAACTGTCACAAGCTCCCCGGGTACAGCTTCGACCGTCGCATCGTCTCTGTGGACGAGATCGCCCAGGCCCTGCACCGCTCGCTATCCAACATGCTTCGCGCGAACCCGAACGCGCGCGTGCTGCTCACGGTGAGTCCGGTGCGCCACTGGCGAGACGGGGCGGTCGAAAACAGCAGGAGCAAGGCTCATCTGTTGGCCGGAGCGCACGCCGCGATCGATTCGTTGCGTGCGGCAGGCGTCGGGGAAGGGGAAGTGGACGGGGGCCCCGGGCGAGTCGCCTACTTCCCGAGCTACGAGATCGTCAACGATGATTTGAGGGATTATCGGTTCTTCGAGTCGGATATGATCCACCCCAATGGCGTGGCAGTGGACTACATCTGGGACAAGCTCACGGGGGCGATGTTTTCGGACGATGCCATGCGGACCATGCAGGAGGTGAGGGCCTGCCAAGGTTGGGCTGGACAGCTGCTGTAAGCGACGTGCTTTCCCTTCCTTTTCGGCAGTCAGCGCGCGGACTCAAGAGAAAAATATTGGTTGTTTCGCCCCAAAAGGCCCTGCGCCCTCTTTTCCGAACGTTGGAACAACAAGAAGTGTGTCTCGAGCAGTATTATGATTGGAGGGATGCCCGCCCAAAAGAAATGTGTTCACCACAACCATCAATTTCCTTTCACTCTCTTGTCTTCTGGTTTGGTACGCTCTCTGTGAAAACGTTTTTTCGGGCACTCGCAGTGTTCGCTTAACACGCTGCGGTACGGTAGCGGTGTTCCGCGAGGCCTTTTCGGTGCTGGGTACCAAGCCTAGCATGGCCCAGTTTTCTCTTGTTCACGGGACTTCCGGAGTGCAGAAATTGCCACAGCTTACATGGTAACCTCTTGTTTTTACTGAGGCCCGCTCCTTATATCTTCCGCCCGGAAACCAAGAGAGAGAAGATGGGATTAGAATATGATCTGGTTCAGCTTCTTTCGTTCGAAAAATCCTCAAGTCCTCATTTTCTTGATGGATACGAAGCCCTTGAGTGACAGCGCGATCTGCATGGTATTGCCGTCCCAGGCGCTGTAAACGGTGTTGCACATGGTGGCTTACACGGTTGTTCCGGTCTTCGTACAAACCCACGAATACAGCCACCGTTTGCTCGTCGCAGTGCTATTTTAGCTGCGCACCACATGTCACACAAACACGGGGCGCCCCCTCCGCGGAATGCATGCGGAGGCCTCTCTCTCTTGACAATACTGAATTGTGTCTAGACACTGCACTCTGTATTTGCTTCGCTCGAGACGACCCCAACGACTCCCGCCTCTCCTTTCGTTGACGTCTCATCAACCCCTCATCAGGTCCAGAAGGTCGTGCAGGGGACGGAGCACCGACCCTTCAATCCCAAGAGCGATGCTCACCAGAAGTTTCTGAGAAAGCAGCTCCTTAAGGTTGACAACCTTGAGCGAAAATACCCGGGCTTGAAGCTCGACGACGAGCGAGGATTTTTTCAGGCTCAAGTTCTTGAGCCCGTGGCAGCTTCTGCACATTGATTGTCGTCCCCGCATGCCGTTTCCTCGGCGTCATGGCTCATAATGTGTGTGCTCTGTCGTGTGTCTTGTAGCGGATGCGGAGTCGGCGTGTGGGATCGCGTGAGACGAAAAAAGTGAGGTGTAAGATCAAATTTGGCTGGATAAGTATCGCATATGTAAAAAAATGGTTATAGATACACGTAAAGGGCGGTTGTGATGCTATGCGCGTGTGTGAGCGTTGGCTACTTTTGCTCCACACGAGAGGCGTCCAGTGTGATAAATAGAGATCCTAGGACATAAACAAATGGTGCTAGACACGCCTCGGGCTACTCATTTCGGACCATCCTCGTACAACCTTGTTACAATCTTTCGACCGCCATGCTTGCACCCGCACCACTAGCAACACCTGTGGTTTCGATTCAAGAATGCGGTGCCCAGAAACACCCTACGACAGCCAGCAAACAGGAGACGGCGGGCTGCGCCAGGAAGGGATTTTGTGTTCTACATTTGCGCAATGTATACGCACGCTTTTTTCTTGCAAATCTTGCGGGCGTGAGCCGCTGCTGAAGTGGGCACCGAGGCTCTGGGCTGGTATAGCGATCGACACGGTGCTGCAGCTTCGCGACAACGAACAACGATCAGCGTAGTGAACCTTCCCACCTTGTGAGCATCGCCTGCACGCGCAGCACTCGGTTATTTCTCTTCCTCGACTTCCATGTCTGCCACAAGCAGAGTGCGTACGGTACAACTGAACGTACAGTAGTGGGAAACCACGTTCCATTTTGTTTCGACAACCAATCGATTACGGCTCCGGTGTAGACCACACCCGCTTTTCCAGAGCACTGGCTGCCGTTGGTTTTGGGCGCGTTGGAGGAGCTGCTGACACGCACCAGTAACGCGTGACACCACCGTAAATAGAGGGATACGCACATGTGTAAACACCAACACAAGACATGATACACGTCAGTGAACAGTGTTTCGTGAGCCTGTTGTAGGCACATTATTTTCAAAAATTCTGTACAACAAGGTGATTGGTCCAAAGACGGCTCTCTTAACTTTTCAGTCAGACTATACCTTCTTCTCCCCCTATTTTCCAACAGTGACAGCTCGGACCTCCTTTGCTGCGGTGGTACGCATTTTGGTGCCAGCGCCGCCCGTACCTCTCTCTACTCTATATCTGGGGCCATACAATTTTTCGCGTTGCGCCTCTCTTGCAAATACTTTGCTTCGTTGGCAGGAAATCATGCCAACTACAAGGACTATCCTTGACCTCAACAGTCTAAACTATCAGAAGTCCTGGTTGACTTCAAGGTAGCCCATCTTTGCTTGTTTTCAGTGGGACGAGGATGCCCTCCTCAGGAGGAGAACCGTGTGGTTTCACCACAGCACAGGGTTGCCAACCTTATGAGAAAAAGCCAACTCTGCCTTCCCCGTGTCTCGAAGAGAGATCGAAGAGGGAGGTGTGTACAAACCCACTCGGCTCCCGTATATCAAACATGCCAGTCAACCTTCAGGTATGCCAGAAAAAAACCACGCCCTTAGCAATATCGCTGGAGGGGGGCGGCGTCCTCGTAGCGCCTGAACTGCTTCGAAACACAAACTCGCCCGAACGAAGCTCACCCAACTTGCCTCTCTGCGCCCTAAAATAATATTATGAGCAAATTAAATCAAAGCACATCTGGCCTCCGGGCAAGAGCACATATTTTTAAGTCATTGTCACACGCAAAATAAACGGGATCAGTTGACTCGGCTCGAATTCCACAAACACCGGTCAAGTACCAAGAATTGCGGTGGGGCGGACTACACTAATCCCGGGCTTGCGACCCAAAAAGACGGCAGATTTCTCCGCGAAATGGGCTTTCAAGCGCAACACACCCACCGAATGATATGCGTACGAGGTTGAGGATGAGAAACGAGGCCCAACTTCAGAAAAGCTAAATGCCCTTCGCCCTCTCCCGTTCCACCCCATGACACACGCAACAAAAACACGCGGGATTGGGAGAGAGGAGACATGTACCATGCCAATCCTCCCGTGCTTCGAGCGAATCCCAGGTCGTCGTGGCAACCACAACGAAGGGCCTTCCTTCCTTCCGTGTCCGTGGCTCACTAGAACAGGCCGTACCACGGCTTCTTCTTTTGGACCTTGGTGTCGTCCGACAGCTCTCTCAGCAGGCGGTCCCTCTTATCTTCCTCGGTTTCCTAGACGCAACAAACAGACAATATACCCAATCCAAGTACAGCAGAGAGGCGGAAATGAATTGCTGCTGTTGTTTGTTGTTGCTGCCGCAATTACTGATTGTGAGTTGCTCTTGTTGGAGTCCCCTTTCAGCAACCAATCCCGTTTGTCTCTTGCGCTCGCCGCGGTTCGCGTAAAGCGTCAAAATCACGGTTCTCTTGTGTGTGTCGTGACGGCTGGGCGGCTCGAATGTTGCTCACTCAACAAGAAGGAACGGAAAGGGGCAGCGACACAAACACGAATTCAACTTGGGCGAACCCCAACGTATGCACAAGCAGCACGAAACGTTCGAGACACCACCGTCCCACATTAATCAACGGTGATTCCCACCGTATATGCCACGGTACATGCCACGGTTCGCTGAAATGGTGCGCACCTTGGCGTCCTGGATCTTCTTCAATCTGGCCGAGTCTCGTGCCATCTTCTTCTCGGCTTCCTTTGAGGTTTCCAGGACAAGCTTCACCGTCGGTCCACTCCGAATCTACGTCAGAGAGATCAAGTCGAAATCAAAGTGGGGGTGCTGCAGAATTAACGCGGGGGTTCCGCAGAAAGGTCCACGCCGGGAGAAGCCAAAGACGGCACAGTGTGCAAAGGTCGAACTTGTACAGATTGACAACGACAGCCTCCCCAATGGCGTCACACTGTTGACCGACGGTGGCCGCACCATCGCCGTAAGAAACACAACCTTTTGGCTCGCCAGCGAGGTATATTTACGACATCTCCCGCTGTCTCATTGTACTTCATATACAGTACACAGTACAAATGCCGTAGTGCCGTCTCCCCTCTCATCACATCCCGGAAACCTGAAACAAACCCACCCTCTATGCCAACCACAATGTTACAACTTGTATAAAATTCTTTGTCTTCAGACGGATCATCCCAATCATCCGTTTTTGTCATCATTCCATGGGACTGAACGCACAATGTTTCGGTTTTGAGGCACAAAATCGACAAGCGCATCGGGCGAGCTAGACACGGCTAACATTAAAGTCAAGCTCGCCCACCCTGATGGCCGACTGCACGCGGCTCAGCCCGACGCCCTGCGCGCTCCAGATCTCCTCTCCAAAGGTAGCCGAAACGAAAGTGATCTTGTCTCCGACCTGCAACGCAACCACAGCAAAGCATAGCCCAGGGGAATGGATACATACACCAGGGGTGAAGGTTTGCCGGCGTTTCGGCAAGGACTGCTGTGAAACACTACTTATGTTAGAAATGCTACCGATCGAGATGCTCCAAGGTGGGGGTGCGCGAGACACGTGCGTGTGTCTTCAGACCAAAGAAAACCGCCAAACGCTCGTTTTATTCGACGAAACTCCAACATGAACACTTGGCGCGCAGAGTACGCAGGTGCACAACATCTCAATTCCCCACACCGGGACACGAGAATAACCATCACCACCACGATTCGCACATGCGCACCAGCGACGTCGAAAGGGTTGTTATTGGGGTCGGGCAGGATAATCTCACGTTGATCTGCTTCTTTCTCGAGGCGTTGCCTCCGGGGACGATCTCCACAATGTATACGTTTCCTCGCTCATCCTCCTCCAGAACGAGTCCCATTGGCTGGAATACCGGTTGCACCGCATCGATATCGACACCGGCAAGAGTCAGAAACGACCAACGACGACAGCAGACAGCAGTGTTTAGTCAGTTTAGTCAGCAGCGAACCGTGACGAATGGCAGAAGCAGCAGTCGGCGAGAACAGAGCAAATTGCGGCGAACATAGGGAGTGCAGGCATTTTAACCCCAACAACATCACGCACACAAAGCACACCGACGCACGACAGGACAAAAACTTGCTGGTGTGGCATGAATGAAGTGCACGGCGTCAAACGATGGATAGACGTCGGTAACATTTAGAACAAGCGAGGCGAAGGTGCTTATAACGTAGGAGGTAAATCCCACTCTGGGGGTTACACGTCAACACCGTGGCAACTACTTCATCCGCATTTGTCGGTGTTCACGCACAAACAAGCTGCCAGCTTGAAAACAAGCAAGCTGGCATCCCCCGAACTGTTGTACGTATTTCAAATCACGCAGCTTGCACACAAACCCTATCTTGCAGAGCGCCGCGCCGGGACACGAAGCCTTCTCCTCTCTGAGGAACGAACGATATCACCGCCGTTGCTATGGCTACGTGGCAAACGTGGGGCTGCATAACGATGTAACCTTCGCTGATGCTCACTGTGCACGACACCAACGTGCCCTGACCACTTTACGAATTCGGTTCACACAATTCAACAAGACGGGCCTCCGCCGCATCATCATATTCTCACCTTCCTGAGCTCCACCACTCGGTCATTGGGTCCGACCTTCCGGGCGGCACGCGCCATGTTGGACAGCTGCCGTGCGGCCTCCTCGTCCTTCTTGCTTGCCATGCTAAGCATGCCCCTCGAGGGCTGGCGGGAGACGGCGGAGGTCGACACCGATCGACCCTTCACGCACACGACCATGATTGGGGACATTTGGATATAGACCGGGTTGAGGATGGAATCAGGAAGGTCTTGCGGGTACGGTCGAACCAAGCTGCATAGCTAGGTGCAGGACGCAGGTGGCGTTTCCGAACCAAAAGTTTCAAACCCTTTCTTTTGTTTGGGTCTGAGCTCAAAGGGGCGCTTGGTAGCTGGTTGTGGTCTACCCCTCCAGTGTCGCCAAAGGGTATCAAATCATTTTATGCTTGACACTGCCGTAGTTGGGAGTGTTGATATTGGTGTTGTTTCACTCTCGCCAAGCGTACTTGATTCCACCCGCTCTTGGCAACCTTGAGAGACAGTGGCGGCGGTGTGGACTTCTCCCTGGCAAAAACGAACACCTAAAACCTACACCTCTTTCTCAACGGACGCACGACACAGAAAAAGGTGATCGGTCGGGTATCGTGGGCAGTGGGCTGAATGATGTGCCGTGTGTGTGGGAACACGCCCCCTCACAAGACAACTCCTCGCAACCGTTGGCAGCGGTTTATTCGCAACCTGTGGCAGCCCAAAATATTTCTTGATTGCGTGGTTGAGGTCATGAGTACGCAAAGCGGAGGAACCGGTACTACTGCTGTAATTGTAGCGTACAGCCGTGCTTTGCTGGGAACAACGTGGGGCAAAGAAAAAAAAGAAACAAAATGATCCCGCCAGGTCGACAACCCCCCCCCGCAAAAAATGACACCGATGGGCTCCTGATGGCCTGTAAACAGAGGAAATATCTCGTCGTACCCGCCACACACACACATGTCACCCCCAACTCTACAACAACATGCACTTGGATCGGACGTCGTCCTCAGTGGGGGTTTTTGGCTAGACACGTTAACGCCCGAAGTTTTTTCTTCCCTCTCCCCCCCCCCGATACGGCTTTGGCCTTGCGCTCGCTTGTCCTCCGCGGCAGAGGATCGAGCGTTGTGTCTCAGGACCGTTGGGATAGGTAAGAGAGTGGCAGAGTTCCCAAAGACCTGCCTGCAAAGGGCTTCCCAGGAGACACATGTGCATACATACGCTTACGCTTACGTCGCGCGACAATCGAGTCATCTTTTTCACCTGAGTTGACCCGAGCGCCCGAACGGAGGCAGTCGAAGGCCCCATAAACGCCAGGCATTCCGTGCTAACCGCAAGCAGGGCAGCGAAGGAGAGGAAAGCTCGCACCATAGCTGGACAGGGATGAGCAACGGCGTGCGTGATCAAATGGTAATGTCACACCAGCTGAGGTCGTTCGTACGTATTACACCGAGATGCGGAGAAGATGCGGAGGAAATGGGGGTATAACAACTCTACTCTAGAGGGCCCCAAACACGTCACGCTCGATGTGTGATAAGGTGACCGCACACGTATGTAAGTGCCTCCCTAACGACAAACAGGCCCCGACGCTACCCCCTACTACAGGTGCTTGATTCGAGTATGAAGTTGTTAGCACTTATGCTGTTGGTGGTGCTCATGGCACGGGAATATTGCGAAGGTTTCGTGGGTACGGCTTTGCCAACAAGGGCAGCAGCTGCTGCAACAAGACGACACAAGGGAGCGGTCAACATGGTAAGTGACAGAGTGGCAAAGTGTGTGATACTTAACTCACAACCTCACGCTGATCTCCCCTTTCCCTAGGTGATGCGCAATAGGTACCTTGGGCCTCACTCATCCATGCAACTTACTCGAAGGACTTACACGATGCGTATACGGAAAGGCAGCTGTTCGTGTGTGAAGAAACGTTCGAACGACTGGAAACATGTGCATCATCAACGTTCTTACGTTCAATGACTCCCGTGTCGCGGAGGTGTAGATTGAGCTCCCCCGGCACCGGCAATTGGTAGACTACTCTGTACTTCATTTGCAGGTGCTGCTGAGTCGCGCGGGCGTTGGTTGCATGTCGGTTGCCCGTCGATGATATCATGCTAGTGTACGTGTATGTATGTACACACGAAAGACGATTGTATTCTTGACGTCAGCAATCGTCATCCAGTCACCAAACGCATTTGTATTCCTGACATGATGCCTTTTGTATCCAAATCAAGAGGCGCTACAATCGCTCCCATGATGTAGATTTCATGACATCTTATCAGCATTTTTTTGGGTGAGAAGGAAGATTTACGCGCTTGCGCTTCCATTTTCTCAATCTGGCGCGATCTGTATGCCTTGCTTCAGCCAAGTGTTGAGAGTTAAGGAAGTACGGCAGTGCTGCTGCTGCTGCAATGAAGTGTTGTACTGCTGTATCCTACAAGAAGGTATTGGTGTGTTGTAGAATACCGAACAATTCAAAACGTCCCTTGTGTGAGCGTTCGAAAGTGCAGAGCTACAAAGGTGGTGGTGGCGTGGGGTTCTTTCTTGCGGCATCGGCAGAATATGGCGTGTGTTGAAGTGGCGTGCCTCAAACATGAAAAAAGAATGGCCAGGACGGCGATGGCTCCCCCTTTGCTCGTTCGCTTCGCTTGCAATGGGACGTCGGATCCTCACGACCGATTGCAATCGCAAGCTCGGATGCGTCATGGTACGAACAGCCTGGGCGGGTACCTATATCGTATTTTTGTTACCCGTGCGCCTTCATCCAGTTAAAAGCCATCGCCGAAACCTGCCCATGCCCAATCCATGTGAACAAGTTAAGCACCATGAGCAAGCTTGACCTCCGTCGTGTGGTAGCAAAACCTCACAGCCCTAAAATCGTGGTACTCTTTTATATGCACGCGCAGATTGTACGATGCGTTGTAGTTTACAGGAGGTACAGTACTGGGCCCGCTATAGTGCCAGTATGTGCCCAGAGATAATATCGGCACTATTCAGGGCACCGTCACTAATCAGAATAGTGCCTCAATAGTGCCGGTCCGGCACTATTGAGGAGATGTTTGATTTCATGCTGTGGCGCTCATGCATTGCGGGGCGAACAGAGTACGAAATGGATCAAACTTAGTGAAGGTCTATCGTGGGCGTACGCATCCTTTCTTGCGACAAGTATGGTTCCCCCCTGTCGCACACACAGAGGGCGAGTTGTAAAAAATATTTACTTGCATGTTGCACCGTTATTTTCTGCCTGCCTCAGCACATGAACTGTACTGCACACCCTGAACTGTCGAAACTGCTGTTGACGGCAAGATGCTTGTAAATAAAGCTCCCGTTCGTACAGAGTGGACGTAGCTATATCTCAGCCCTAGAGCCCCTCCTTCGATGTTGCAAGATACAAAAGACAAAACAGAAAAAGAAACACGACAGGAAGCGCACTGCAAGAAAACAAAAATCAATAATACTGCACTACAGTTGTATCTCCCCCCCAAACTACGTCGCGACACTGGAGTGTCTGCCTGGCGTACCCGCTTCGATGTTGCAAGAAAAAAAAATAAAAACTTCAAGTACACGACAGGAAGCGAACCGCAAGAAAAAGAAACAACCATAAACTCTACGTCGCGACAAATCCTCTAATGTCTGTCTGGCGCACCCGCCTAGCGGAATGCGCTGCGATCATTTACATCTTCGCTTCGTTAGGTAGAACGCCGCGTCTCCGTTGCCACTGTCCTCTGCTGCCACTTCCAGGGCGCCGAAGTGAGACGACAGTTCTTCATAACCCGGTGGCGCACGTGGGGCACGGCGCTCGCGCCCCGTGTTCTCACCGCTGCCGCCCTGGTCCTGTTCGTCCTCCTCGTCGTCGCCGCCGGTAGACAAGCTCGTTCCAGTCAGCAGTGCTGTCATGTGTTCCACCGCGTCTAATCGAAGAGCCTCTACCACCTCCTCGTCGTCCTCGATGGTAGCCCACCCCTGAATCGCGGCCACCGCTTCCCCCGCGACCGGCTTTCCGGGTTCGATGTTGAGTTCTGCCAACAGTTCGCTGATCTCCTCGTCCACGACGCGGGATCCTTGCTTCTGCGCGTCCTGCACGCTCGTGCTCAACGTGTCGACAGTCTCTGCGAGAGCCTTCAGGTCAGGCTCGGCGACGTTGAACCGGGTCTTTCCGTGTTGCTTGGTGAGCTCAGCCGCCATCTCCTCCGGAAGCGACTCGGCTTTGACAAAGCACCTGGCCAGGTAGCGCAGAATTGTGATGCATCCGTGATTGGGTGGAGAAGCGATGTTAGACAAACCCAGTGACAAACAATGACTTATAGGGATGCGAGAGAGGGCCTTTTTTTAGCAAAGAAACAAGCAGATTTGCGGTTGCGGGAATATTCAGTCGAAAAATAAAACCTATCCGTACAACCTTACCCACGTAACGTACCACCAAAGCCATGCGCACTTGCGCGAGCTACACATTTAAAACAGCGATATCACATGTTCAAACCTCACCTGGCGATGTCTTGGGCGGTAACGCTGGCCCATGCTTTCTGGAGAAGTTCAGCGGCGTCCCGCACGTGAGGTTGGTGCCCTTGCGCTAGCCCCATTGTCCCGGCCTTCATCTTGCGGGCTTTGGCCTGGGCGCGAAGTTTGTTAGCCACCAAGATGGTTGATGTCTTCACATCGAGCAGCTCCTTCCTGTAGTTGACCTTCGTCTTGGCGATGACCCCCAAATCCATGGGTTGGTGTACGGCGGTGCACGGAGGGTAGGTCTTGACGGTAACTTGCCCGCGATCATCCACTCGATCACTGTGAAACGCACAGTTCACCTTCCGCACAAGGCATGGTGCGCCTCTGCGTAGAACTCTTCGGGTCTGCAGCAGCACGTGTACCCTCTGTGTTGCGTGTGTCCGCTGTCTTGTGTGTGTGCGTGTTTTGTTATTAGCATCGACCGCGCTAACCGGCTGACCAATGAAAAGACGTCAGTCTTAGTGCGGTTGAAAACACAAAACACTTCTATCTACCATGAACTGGGACCCCGTGAGGGTGTGTGTCAGCTGGCGTGTGTGTGTGAACCGGCACTAATGCGGGGCGCCGTGGTGCCCAATGGGCACTTTAGAGGGTCCGCCCTCAATAGTGCCGGTTCGGCACTATTGAGGGCGCTTTCTGTATCCAGAGATTTTACCGGCACTATACCGGGCATCGGCACTATTCAATCGGCACTATAGCGGGCCCAGTACTGTATTGGGAACAATAAACACAAACACCGAAAGACCACCTACGGAGGTATACGCACAGTCGAACGGGATGTGTTGGATCCTTGTGGTGTTCTTGAGCCTTCACTGCGGCAAATCGTCGTGTTTATCCGAAGCCCACACCACGCAAATAGAGTCTCAGGCGGCTCGATCGCCAGATGTGTGTTCAAGTTTGTCCACATTACCATTACCACACTGGTTCTCGGGATCACGGATACACCACGGCCTCAGAACGTTGGTTCTCCTAGATGTACAAGGAAGCACAGCTGGGGTAGTCGACTTGTGCCATATCCCTTCGATTTTTATACAGAACATTTTCGCCGGACACTGCAAAGTTAAACCCAAAAGACGTATCTACCGGCATGCTTTTCGTACCCTGGAGCACCTCCTCGCAAACTGCCCTGGAGTATGTAGTTCGACAAGCGTATACACTGGAAACTGCCACGAACTGTTTGTGACGCTCGACTTGCGTTAAGCCTGGAGACCAATACAAGTGGGCATCTCTTTCTTTCAGCATCTCTGTTTCTGTCTGTCTCCCTCAAGCCCAACCTAGCTGTGAACTGCCCCATGGCCAGTGGACCCGTGGGTAAATGCAATGCGTCGGAACAACACATTGTCACACTTACGGGAGCGTTTTCGCTTGGTGTTTGGACTAGGTGGCAAGAGGTTTAAACTAAGCGGTTGGAGATAAGATCAGCGTTATTGGTAATCTCTCGGGTGATGTCACGATGACTGAGCCCTTCATTTTCACGATGACGGGATGTGGATTGCTGCTTTGTATGCTATGTTTACCAAAATGTTCGCGGATTACATCGATTGATGTCCACTATTTTCATGGCCCGTCTCGGGATGCCAGGTAGCGTCGTCGTGAGCGCTTGCAAGTCAGTCGTCTGGATATTTCTTCAGCTTGTTACGAAGCTATTGTGTCACGATTTGTTACACTCCGATATTTGCGAGCTCCTTCATGATGCTTTTCCCGCTGTCGCTCTCGCGAATGGTCAACAGTGGTTGCCGTCACAGTTCACCTGTTGGACCTGTTTTTTTTCTCGCCTTTCCGGTCGGTTTTGGCGTCATCATCGCAGGCAAACGTAGTCGTGGAGTTCACCAATTCCAAAAAGACGGTCAACGCCGTCGTGGGCTCCCCTCTCTCACAACTATGCGCGAAGAACGGGATCAAGGTAAGCCATTTAGAAGAGCCCCACACATGCGCTACTGCTGCCGTCAATCCGATTCCATCGAAGTAGAACGCTGCAGAAGCAGATGCATTGAGGCATAACGTAAAATCGAACGTAAAACTGGATACAGGCTAGCGCTTTTCGCGTAGCGTAAAACCGCGCGCCAACGTGGAACCCAGGAGCTTTTTTGTACCACGGTTGTGGTCGTAAAGAATGTCCCGAGAACCCCCGCGTGTTTTATGTGGAACCTATAACATGGAATATTTTTTTTTGTCCAGAAAACTGCTGTAGAAGCGCTGCCGGTATGATTGAAATGCACCTGTCACTGCGAGGGGTAATTCGAATAGGCGCGGAGTTAGGTTAGAGGGGGAAGACCTCAATTCATTCTCCAAGTTTTCTTGTCGATCTGTACTCCGGACGCCAGGGACACACCTATTGGAGTGCTTTGGGCGTGCCAGGTGGACCATACGCTATGTGCCCGCCTTAAATTTTTTGTCGTGAACAAGGGTCAGCGATCCATTCCCTCGTTCACGTTTAAGTCGAATATTCTGGACTTCTGATTTGGAAGAATGACAATGCACGTGTCAAACGAAACGAAAGGTGAAGTACAGCTGCAAGCAAGGAGACTGCGCGACATGTTCGATAAACATCGACGGGAGAAACGTCAAGGCCTGCCAAGGGAGGGTGCCGGCATCTCGCCGCATCGTGAAGATCAAGGCGTGAGCCGGACCGAGCTATGAACCTCATGGTTGAGACAGGCATCCAATGGTGTGGGGTACATACGGAAAGCGATACAGAGCATGGATCGAGGATTTCGACTCGTTCAGCGTGCTCAGAGAGCATCCAGTACCTCCTGCAAAAGGGGGACATGCTTGTTGTTATGCACACAACCAAGCGTAGTAAAAAGACTGAATGTCGAGATTCGCAGCACGGTGCAAGGCTCTGTCACATCCCGCACAACTCGTGCGGCATTGACTAGCATCCGCGTGGTTGCGTTTTCGCAGTTTCGGCCGGAGTTATCACAGCAAAGCCAAAACAGGCAAGGGCGTGGCCATATTCCCTTGTTGTGATAGACCGGGAGGACTGAGTCATCGTCGACTCTTTGTTGCGCGTGTACAGTGGATGATGGGCGTAGATCATATGTTATTAGTCTTTTCTTCTTTTGTTCGTTTCATCCGGCTGTTATCGGGCCTGTTTCTCCTCATGTTGTAGCCAACAAAGGTTTCGTGAAGAAATCAGGTGCCGAAAGGTAGCATGGCCGCGTGGATCGAAAAAAAAAACAATTATAGATCCACCAAAGTCGGTTTTACCTCAAAACCGCGAGGGCGGCGATCAGTGTTGTCAAAATAGAAAAAGCGGTCGGGATTGTTGTGGTTGATGCTGCCTGTTGGCTTCAAGGCGATACAATAGAAAAAGGGGCAATGGGACAAAGAACAATGCCCCCCTTCTCTAGAAATTGGTGAGAAGAGATGTGTCGTCGATGCAAGGGGGAAATGTGGTAGAACCGAGAAATCAGGACGCAAATGGATGGGCTGGGTGAATATGCGTCGATTTTTGTTCGGACTTGGACATGAGGGAGCGAGCAGAAACAGTCTCTCTTGAGGAAGAATTTAAGGTCTTGCAGCGTGTATGAGTACCTTCTAGAGGCGGTGATGAAGCGTTTGAAACCGGGAGAAGTTATAGAACGAGTGCTTTAAGGCTCAGAGTAGTAGGTTGACTTTCTAACAAGAGAGTGGGTAACACGGTAGCGATGTGATTGGTGCCTGATATATGGTTGGGAGTGTTCACCGGTCCGTACTTCAGTGTATGTGCTGCCGCTTCAGGAGCGTAGGATAATATGGGTTCTCAGGCTCAAAATAATACGAATGTGACAACAAAGACGAACAGTTGCTCAGCTCGAGCACATGGGAAACGATAAGCCGCTATCCTCGCACAAAACAAACGGTTCTTCGCGAGTACTGCTGTACCTGTTTTTGGAGACATGAGAGCGACGTTTATCTCAACCGCGATTAAGTGGCGTTAACAGAAGTACGCGCAGTATCGACATCTTGTACACGCCCTCATGAAGGAAGTACGCCCGGCGCTGGGCACACGTCGACATTTCGAACTTTTGAATTGTGTTCTTCTGGCAAGGAAAGCTTGTTCCCCGCCCCGCCGAGACAACAATATCCATCAAAGAAGTTGCATAGCACGGGACATCACCACTAAACCCTAACCCTGCCCGATGTCATTTCTCTCCAACTAGAAAGAAATTGTCGCCTGCTGGCCTCATCCACAGAATCGCAGACCTTTCTGGGTAAAAAACTTGTACATTTGTGTTTTGAACAAGTGAGTCATGACTTCACACAGCACGATCCCCCCATCTCCAAAGGCTTGGAGGTTGATGGGCAAAGCCTTGAAGGTTGACGGGAACGAACGTATGGGAACAAACGTATCCGTGGCCCGACCTTCAAGTGTCGCCTCCAAGCTCGCTTCGAAAGCATTCCATACGGTACTGTCTGGTCTGAACCCACGACCCCACATCCCGGCGACAACCCACGTTTGGAGGAAAGCTTGAGGAGATCAACATCAACAGGAGATCCAGTCGTTCGAAGCACCTCCGAACACCTCAAGTAGACCGCAAACCCAAGCCCCAGTCACTGGCGTGGACCTCAAACCCGACCGTAGCAATACCATATGCACATGGCGTGCGGCAGCAGCAACAACCGGTTAAGGTCGCGAAGTCAGGCCGGCCCGACAAAAGGCTACAACAATGATGTCACGCGCGAGAGAAGCTCGTGGCAATCACCGTCAGTCGGAGGTTTCACCGACACCACCATGGGCAGACCCCACTCCGAGTCACCCGTCGCAGAGTTCTGGCTTATGGCGGCGCCGGGTGTTGCCGGGGATTGCGAGGACGTTGCCCCGGCGGAAATCTGGATTGCCATAACACCTTCCATCTCCCGGATTTCCTTCTCCACACGCGTCTGGCGATTTTCGGCAAAAAAGAGAGCCGGAGAGGAGTTAACACCCGAAGTATGCGGCGGAACCCTCGTTCAGCAGCGATGGTCCCCGAATGATGTGAGACCGCCAAAATTGTCCAGAGTGAAGTGGCTTGCAACACATAGAATACAACTCAAGTTGTCTCATACCCTTGTCAGTGTTGTGCGGCCTCAAACAGGCACCACGACCACTGCCGTACCTGGATGCTTATCGCCTTCTCGGGATCTGCCTGGAAGATCTTCTTGAACTCCCGTGCTTCCACTCCGAATAGGCGCCTGGTGATTTGCTCCGAGAGGCGAACGCTAACAACAGCCGTGCCGTCCTCGATCTCGACCACAAGCTGTCGTCGCAAAGTTGTTCGTGTCAGGCGTCAGTACGGTCAGCAGGGCACGAGGGCGGTTGGGTGGCAGACGACAAGGAGGCGTTGACAAGTTCCGTACCGCGCCGTCGCCTTGCACGGTAACATGGATCGTACAAGACTAAGTTCTCTTGACAACATGGGGCATTTTTTCTCGGATACTGTAGTGCAAGCAAAGGTTAGACGCAAACGAAGGTCTCACCACCTTGACAGACACGCAGCTCTCTCTGGCTATGTTGCTGCAAGAACCAGTGAATACCTCGCACGCGTGCACGCGGAATAAGCACGCACCGGTCAAGTCAATCGACGCGCACGGGTGCACCCTCCCGAGAGCCATCTACCGTATGCAATTGCTGCGATTTCCTTGCGTATTCTTGAACTAGAACATGGTGCAGGTATACGTTATTTTTTTCAAACGCGTTCCTCCGGGGAGCACGATAAAACAGTGGTGTGGACCACGTTAGACGCTGTACATGCCCATATTGGAGGCCCCCTGCAATCATCCAAAACGGAAGCCCCCCCAACCGTGCACCCAAACCACATTTGTTATCTACAATACTCCACGCGTGAATCGACCTTAGAAGCACACGGCTTTTACCGAACGACAACACCGACCCAACACTCAATTATGCCTAACTCAGCCCCAAGACTCACCAGATACTTTTTCTTGCGGATCTTGCAGTTCTTTGTGTCAGACACGACGGCCTTGACGCGATACATACCCCCTCCCGCGGCGGCTAACCGATCCAGATCCTCCAAGGACGTGTACGGGCCGCTAGGCGGAGACGGCCTCGTATCGTTTCTCCGTTCACGGTCGCCTCCTGCTGCGATCGGTTCGAAACAGGCCAAGTGAGGTCAAGATAAAGCCGATACACTACCACTGTAGGTGCGGTGTTGTTCGGTTCCAAGTTGTCGGGTGCGAGACTATCCATTCAGCGTTTAGCGGAGACAGGGTAACTCAGTAAGTTGAGGACTCATTGAATGATTAATCAATGTCGATGGGAGACGAAGCCTCGCTTTAGTTGCGACTACGCCAATAAAAGTAGTCCAACCTACACCTATAGAAATAGTCCAACCTACGTGGTGCTTGTGATGCGACACAAGGAAGGCATAGCACCCGCCTTCCCCGCCGTTTCAAATGAGAAGGCGCGGCGAATCTACCGCATCCTCTCGGCCGGTGGAACAGCCTTTCCTTTTCGCTGGCAACGTTTTTCTTTCACCTCGGCTGCCGATTTCGCTGCTGCTCCGGCCGCGCTTTCTCCGCGCAGAAACCTCCAGCCCAGTTCGGCTCCTCCCTCCACCGCCGAACTCTCCCTCGATGTCGGCGACTTCCCCGTCGCCGCCACCACTATCGCCGCCCTCGCCCTGCCCTCTGCTCCGTTTTCGCGATTTCTCCTCCTGCTCTTGTCTAAGTTTCTCCTTCTGCACCCTCGCCGAGACGATCTTCGGTCGTGGGGCTACCGCCGCCGCTGTCGGAGAAGAACTTTCGGTCGAAGCCGAAACCCGGGAAGGATCGCTTAGCATTCCCGGGTTTCTTCCGGTTCGGACGGCAGCAGCAGCAGCAGCAGCAGTAGCAGCCTCTTCTGGGGGTTCGTTGTCGTGTTCCTCGTCGTCGAAGTCTGGTTCTTCCAGATACTCGAACCTCGGTCCGTCATCGTCCTCTAAGTCTTGGAACGCGGAAACCCGCGTCTGCGAACAGATAAACACGAGCGAGCGCATGGGGAGGAAAATGTTTGGATGGGTTCGTTAGATCAGTCCTATGCCGAAGAACAGAAGGGACGCGTTAAGGAGAGAGGGGAACGACGAAAGGCAGGGGCGGGTGTGTTGGTAGGTAGCGTGGAGAAGGCGCATCACGGGTATGGTGTTAAAACATTGGTGCGTCCCACGCCGCTGGTACTGCACGAGGGGCCGTATGATCATGGATACAGGGCAAAAAAGCCGCTCTCTCCACCGACACTGACCGCTCCGCCTCGTGGTCTCCCCTGCCCGCCACTTGAATCAGGACTTGTACTCCGGGCTGCGCCCTGCTGACCCTTGCTTCGCGCCGTCCCGGCCGTCTCTGCTGCTGAGCTAGTAGCAGAAAGCGTCGAGGCGGAATAGGGGTTGCGGACTCGTGCTCTAGTGGGAGCAGCCGCCGACCTTCCAGGAGTCGAACCAGGCCCTGTCGCGGCGGCGTATGGATTGAATACACCGAACTCAGACCTGCTCGGCCTGCTGCTACCAACGACCCCCCCCTTCCCCGAGGCGGACCTCGACCGCTGCTGCCCTTCTGCGTCGGCGTCTCGTCGGCCCTGGGATGATAACAGTGTGTCCAAGTTGCTTCCTGACGACGACGACGACGACGATAAGTCCACCACGCCACTAGGGTCAGCGTTCTCGTCGCGCCGGTGACTGCCTCCTGGCTGGGGTGGTCGCGGCCTGCCGCCACTCTCTGCCTGAGCTCTCGTTGCGTTCTGTGGCGCGCGTGCCCGTGGGCCGCTGTTGCCGGCGGCACCGGAGTCGGTAGCGGTTCGACCGGCTGGCTCCCCGGGCTGGTTTCGGCTTGTGCGGGGCTCCACAGTGTCGTCGTTGTTCGTGGTATTAGTGGCAGCGTTTGCCGTGCTCTGCGCGCCGCCAGCACGAGCGGCCTCTCTCGCCTCCACGAGGCTAGACACCTGTCAGTCCGACACAATTATCACATTACAACACGAGTTGAAAACAAGCCACCCTACTTCGCACCGACAGAATTCATGGGGAGAAGGGTGTTCGTGCTGACGGCTTTTGCACCTCGTGGTGCTTGGGTTACGCGCTACGCACGGAACGCGGAATGTGCCTGCCGAACAAATAGGGTGTAGGCACGGGGCGGGCGTCGTTCTACCTCAACCTCGCTGCTGTTCAGTTCTAGAGTCGCACTTGGGTGAGAACGCACGTAGGGCAACAACGCTTCGTTTCTTCGCACTGGACGACGCACGTGATGTTGCATCACCTCTCGACACACCATGGGCAAGTGCAGACCGAACGGTTGCCTCGGGTCTACGACCCCTAAGGCTGCGCCGGACCGCCTCCCGAGAATTTCATGACAGGATGACGACACGCTGGTACGCTTTCCGTTCCGTACCCCCCCCTAACATTTTCACACCTCGCCGCCTAGTACGGTGGTGTTTTCCGAGGAGAGAAGCAGGATGCCTCGTCTAACCCATGGCTCCACCAGGAGGAGCTTGAGGCCTAGTGGAGGGTCTGCCACCAACCCCTGAACACGCTTGTACTCGAAAGCCGCAACCTGTTGGCCCACATTTAAGGAACCAGGACAAGACCAACGACAGGGGTATGACAAACAGAATAAGACCGACAACAGTCTCTGTATACAGCAGTAGTGAGCGCTCCGGAGCGGTACACCTCAAGTTAAGAGAATATACGCAAGACTGGGAGCGGACGACGCGGGGCGATTGGGCTGTCGTTGGGAGCTTACGCGACATTTCAAAGAAGCCTGCGGGTGAATGCATGCATTGCGTAGACACGAGGGGGGCAAAAGCTAGCTGTGTGCATTCCCCCGTCTGGGCGCGCATTGTAACCGTCAATTTTAGGCCCGGGGGGGGGGGATCGCCTCGCTGTTCAAGGTATCTGCATGACTCGGAGCCTTGAAAACATTCATTCTCTAGCAGACACAGATTGAGCATGTCTTGACAGACCGCCATCAAACAAAGAGACATATCACAAGAAACCAACGAGGCGGTTGCCTTCTTCATCACCATCCTCCATGCCTAACCGTTTGCCTGCCGTCCCCCAAGGCCAGCTTCAGAGTGTGGTGGGCGGACGAGCCGTCCACCTTCTCCCTTTGCTCCAAGTTTTTCGCGATGTCCCTGGCATTTTCTACCTGATGGAGCAGCGAACGAACGAACGAACGAACGAACGAACGAACGAACGAACGGCGTTGCCGAGGTCAGCGTTGCCTGTCCTGTCGTTGTGATATGGACAAGGTGGGGGAAAGGCCCAGACAAGGGGAGGGCAATACACGTCGCGCACGACAGGTTTGCGGCGCAAACGGAGAACACTACGGACATCTAGGCAAGGTCCATCGTCTAGCCTTGCGACGATGTACGGCTCGCGGGACGGAAACGTTAAGCCTAGGCGAAAACATTCCGTAAGGTTGACCTCTGAACGTGCAGGTATCGGCTTAAGGGCGCCGAAACCTTCATGGCGGCCACGACCGGGCGACAGCAGTAGTGGGATACAGTCCCCAGGTGTAAACTACGTGGCTCATCAAGCCCAGGTCTGGTTCTAGAGGCTCAAAGAGGAGATTCTACCTTCGCGTACCTGAACCACCATCTTGCCCTTCACCCGCTCCTTCACCATGCTCCCGACCCCGGCGGGCAGACACGCCTCTCCCGCCTCCCGGAGGTCGCAGGCCAGAAACGTCCTATATACCCCCTCTTGTGCTTCTGACTGCTGTCGCTGGCCGTTTCCGCTTACACCAGGGTCCATGCCTCCCCCGGCTTCGAGGCAGTGCTTAACCCAGTCCAGCTGCAGGTGGACTCCGAGCCCGGTCAAGCTCTGCCGAACCCGTGTCGCCGTCTGCTGCATTTGTCGGGGAGAGAAAACAAGGTTCATGTAGAGGAGCGCAACGTTGCTGTCAGCAGCAAGACATGCACCACCCGCGTCATGCAGCAAGCATCTTCCACGCCCCCTGCTGGGATGGCGCATGCCTACAATACTGACTGCGTTTTCCGTTGGATTAGCTTCACGACCAAGAGCCTCCCCGGGTCAAATCGTTACTCCTGCACTGGGACCGCTATCAGGGAAGTCGTCGAGGTTGACACAATTTCTCGATTGTGCAGTGCTCTACCGCGCCGGGTTGAATGAATTAGCGATGCCGCCATATCGCCGCCTGGACCCTATGCCTGTTTGTAAGCCCAGGACCATGTCTGTGTGTTTCACATCCTCACCTCTTAAAAAATCAAACTAGCAGTGCGCAATACACTACCAACGGCTTGCCTCGCCCATGTCTTGTGACTCGTTCATCTCGATGCTCGGTATGGAACTTGAGCCATTCCTCTTCTACGGTACAAGGCGCTCTCGACGAGAGCCCGGTTGCGTGTTAACAACTTAAAAGGTACACGCACCAACAACACCGCCAATGTTGCCACCTAAGCGATAGATGGTACCGGTACAGTACATAATTTGTTGTGGGGAAGAAATACCTCTTGTGCCTCACAACGCCGATTATACTCGAATGCGTGCGACCATCCTGGTTGAAAGCATTCGTATGCGGTTCAAGACGTGTTGGATGATTTGTTGGTGCAGACTAGACTATACCATGGAACCACCAAACAGACGGTTTCTACTGCTGTACGGAGCGTTTGGCTGCTTGGTGAGTCTCACAAGATGTGATCACGTCGACGATGATGGCAAACCGCCTACAGCATGCGAAATGAGCTCTACGAATTGCTCATGAAGTGCAGTTCAAGGAGGCCTTGTGGCCATCGAAGTAAGATCGTGTGGAGCATGACCTCACGCGTTGACGTGCGCCGAGACGCAGACACGACAGAGATAACAACCACTGCAGGCAGCGTCATGTGCTAGAGACACAGGCGTCTCCTGTAGTCCAGACACTGCGTGCGATACATAACGGTAGTCACGTGCAACTTGCTTTCATTGACATGAAAATACATGAAAATACCTACAATACAGGGCATCCATGACCTGCACCAGGTATGTGGTACCACACACGGCCAGCACAGCAGTCTACTGCCGTCTAGCTGTGTGATCGCCCGGGACGGCAGCGATGCAGCGACTGCTTGCTGCAGTCAGTCGCATTCAAAAATAGGCAGCAGCAAGTCGCTCTGTACAGCCAGTGCAGTAGCGCCCACACCGACGCAGTCATCTCCACCAAAATGCATGAGGGACCCCCTTTCGCCGAAATCGCTCGTCATGTTACTTGTTCTGCTCACGGTTGCAGCCTAACCTCCACTCGGCACTCGACACAGCAGCAGCAACGGCCCATCCCACCTGATGGACATCCATGTCACTACCGCGCGCGTACTCCTGTAGTCAGTCAGCCACAATTTCAAACTTGTGTGTTGAAAAACTGGAGCTTCCTTATCGCGTGAAAGGCCCAGCGTACTTCTGAAGCTCTTCAACAATCAGGGTCAGCTTCAATTAATCACGGACTTGTGTGTGTCTGTGCCTCCTGTCTCTCTCTCTCTCTCTCTCCTGGTTGTGACGGGTCTGCGAGCGAAGGCATTTTGGCATGCTTTGCTGTGTGTTCGGCCACTCCTAACCAGGGGGGGGGTTCGCGGCTGTAGGAAAGATCATACGCTCCGCATTATCTCGCCGCACAGCTGGAGTAGAGCGAGCGAGCAGCTCGAGCTGCAGACCAACGGTAAATGTTGTTGTCATATACCATTGCTGCAGACTGGTAAGTGTCTAGGTCGTCATGGACCGCGTACAACGCTAAGTCAGCCTTGGCTCTAGGAAGGTGTTGATACATCGGTTAGAAGCGCCATAATAACAGACCTGTTGCTGCGGGAGGGAGCCGTCTGCGTGTGAGGACAACACAGGGGGTGGGGGCTAACCATATAGTTCTGTTTCAGAGCGGCCCAAGTCCCTAGTACGCGATACCGACGAAAGGGCCGACCAGGAGAAACTTCGGCATCTACTGCCCTGTAGAGAGAACACGCCCAACGCTCCGGCGGGGAGGGTGTAGCAGCTTGCCTGTCATCCTTGGGTTTCCTCCGTCTACCCGCGGGCATCACCGTGGGGAAGTGCTGGACACGACGGAGCTGTCGATTCGAGCGGGTTTCTCGGCAGCGATACCAGACAGGAGCAGCTCGATGAGGACCACCACCCTAGACTCGCCTGCCGACTCCGAGGGAACCGAGTTCTTCGACGCGCACGAGGCCATGCCGTGGACGCCCGAGCCGCCCACGCGCCAGTCGCCCGCGGCCATCTCTGCCAGGAGGATGCAGCTGGCGCTGTGGCCGGAACCAGAACTTGAAGAGGGAGTACTGAGGGCAGGGTTTGGCATCAATGGAGCCAACTCCCAACCTCCTCCGGCGGACCTACACACACACCAACCAAAGGTATGCATAGAATTCTCTCAGCAGGAAGGCCCGGTAGCAGCGGGACTAGGGGTGTGTGACTCGGTCGGATTGTGTAAGGTGTTGGTGGAGCTTCTGCGCGTGAAAAGTTGGGTACTTGTAGGGCGGCAACGTGGCGTTTCCCAGATGGTATCTGAAATAAACAAACCTTGTCCTCGTACAGCAGTACACCTTGGTAATATTCGTGTTCTTTACAGCAGTAATACTTGTGGTGGTTTGTGTCGGCAGGTCGACGAGGTCGGTCGTTACTTGTGACCATTACGATGAATAATCTGGTCATCATATGCATATGCACACACGTTCTGACGCCATGTGTAAGCCGCGTAGGTGGCTTCACGACTCTGTGAGGCCTTCAGGGGCTAGAGGATGGGTCCAGTTGGTACTTGGTTTCTTTGCCCTCCAGTGTATTTTAGTAGTATCTTTCCTGTCGGGGAGCAGCGGAATTTTGGTCGATACCGGTGCGGCAGTTGACGGGAGAATCACCGAGTTTTCCCCGCTTTCGAGTGTCCCGACTCATCGAACATATGCGGGGTTTGACCAATGGCCGGTGGGTACATATGTTAACACGTTGCACCCTTGCGGGTGTCATTCGGCGTACGTTGTGATCATGCAACATCGCTCATTAGCTCGCAAGTGGTAAGCGGGAAATTGGGCGGGGAAATAATTTCTATTTTAACAAGAAATCATCAAAATTTCAAAGATGGCCACATGCATGGTATGCGTGCCCTTGCCTTCATGCGTCATGCCGCACGAACGCGGGAGAGAATAGTTGAGAGTTGATTGAGAGGTTCCGTCCCTCAAGCGCACCTCGGGATTCGAACTCCCAACGTATGATATGTATTTCCGCTGCAAGATAGATTCGAGGGTAGAGCCCCTACAGCAGTTCAACCGCCGTGATCGATCGGTTGGGTTGCAGATCTTGGTGGTAGGAGAGCACATGCCTGATCGTGACAATCACAAACTTGTACGACGAAGTTTCTTTGCTCCATTGCCTCCATCAGTGTACGTGAGGCTAGGACACTCTCAGTCTTGAAATTTTTCTCGTGGTGTCTGCTGTTGCGGTCGATACAGGCGGCGATCGTGACCAGCAGGGCCTCCAGCCTGCGGTCTCTGTTTCCTTCCAAAGGTGAGGGCATGAAAATCCCCGCTGCACGGAGGGTCTTCCGTCGTCTTGTCTCTGTCTGTCTTTGCATCCTCAAAGCTCGTCGTGAGGTGTTCCGGAACCTTGGTTCGCTAGGTTCGACGGTAGGCTGCTCTGGTCTTGTACAGGCTTGTCCAGGTCCAGTCTGGTGCGACAGTCCTTGCCCTCGCTTTCACGGTATGCAATGTACATTTCCGAGGTGACCATACCTCCCGCTGCTAACTGTTTACCCGGCGGGCGGGGTATTGGAGTTGATGCGCAGAGGCGCGGGGACCGTTCGCAAGCGCCACCGTCCGTAGACACACGCTTCAAAACTCTCAGAAGCTTACAGCGGCAGCGCCTTGGATGCACTCAGCGATCGTCATTGAGGGCTTGCGCGTTCCGTGTACGTTCATGCGTGCGCTCATGCCACATCTGTGTGTTTCCTTTCCGCCTCCCACCTTGCCGGCAGAGCCGGTGCTCCAGCCCCAGGGCTGGAAGGCGATCGACTCCAACACCTACGCCGGCGCCGGCGGCGGTGCGAACGCCGACCACAGCCGCCGAAGTGCGGAGTCCAGCACGCAGAGCTACAGCAGGTCCGACAGCCTGGGAGACGTAGACGACTCTTCCACCGCCTCCGGTACCACCGGCACCGCGGAAGACGGGTGGGACAATGAGCACGGTTCCGACGTCGATGTGGAAGAGCCCTCCGGGGTGGGGGAGGAGATCGGCGGTGGCGAGAGGTCTCTGGCGGCGGTGACGGCGGCGGCGGCGGCGGCAGCAACGGCGGCGGCGCCTTCAAAAGGGTGCTCTCTTCGCCGTCGGGTATTGGGCAGCGCAAGGTGAATCCACTGTCACCTGACTGCGGGTTTCTAGCTGCAGCTGTCACGCATCACCAGTACACCTGAACGTTCCTACGTGCACGTTGGGTCCCCCCGCCGTGTTGTGTTCGAGGCGATGTGTCTTCTACGCCAACGGCGTAGCAGTTACTGATACATTTGGCGTGAGGCCGTGTGAGCCTGTGATCAAGCAAGATAGCGAGTGAGCCATTCCACCCGTATGTAGAAATCAAGTTACTTCGAGGTACCTCCTATTTCTGTGCCGGCAGCCCAGGTCGTTTGCCCGGCGAGTTGTGTACTCAAGTCCGTCGATCTCGTTTTTTGTCCTCCACCCTGTACGTAGGTGCATGCTTTTGCACACGTGCGCAGAGCGTTTGACCTCCAGCGTGCGTTTTCCTCACGCACAGGATCCTCAACAAGCAGCACGAAAGACGGGCCAGCAAGACAGCGAGCATCGGCAGGCGGACGGGGTCGCACACGGTGGCGGGGGCGGCGGCAGATGGCGTCACCCCCTCCTTCGACCCGGGCGCCACATCCCCAGGCGGAATCCCAGCACCTGCGAAGGACGCTACTGCCGAGGTGGGCGAGCTACCGGCAGACAAGCATGATTCCAGGTCTCGCTCCAAATCGCATCCTTGCAAAAGGACGTGCAGCTACAGGTTGCGGCGTGGAGGGAAGGGTCGGCCGAAGAGTGACGGGAGGACCACCAATCGACCACCGGCAGTACACGTGAAGCAGCACGGGAGGGGTTGTGGCAAGGGCAAAGACTGGCGGTCGATGCACATGGTGCAATGTCTCCGGTACCACGAGGTGAAGACGGAAGAGAAGCCGTTGCTGTTGACCTTGTCGACGAGTTTAGTCACTAACGGCGGAAACTTTAGAGCGTAGCGTGTTGCCCGTCGTCTCTTCATGTTGTATTGATTCCCCCCCGGACCCATTGCGAGGATGTATCTGTGCGGTATAGTGTAGGTGTCTAACGTTCTTTGTGCTATAGTTTGGTCGCACGCGCACGTCGATCCCTACATGTAAAAAATGACGTTTGTTTTGGGTCCCGCCTACACTCGTATTCGGTGGAAGGAGCGACAGTAGACTCCACGTGTATCATTACCGGCCCCGAATCGCCTCAGCTACGGTGTGGGCACAGTTATTTTTTGTTTATCGATCCGTCTACTTACCGTTTTGCCTTTGTCTTCTCCACCGAAGGACTAAGATACAGAGTCTTAAAAGAGAACACTTCTTTGAGGGGTTGTAGGCATTAGATTTGTTCTTGAGGGAAGTAGTCCAGAGGTCCTGTTTCTCTCGCCAACAATTAAGTCGAATCGAAGTTTTTGTCCTCGCGAACAAGCGTTTCCAAGAATTGTGTCACGTACACAGGAATTCGGACTTTGACTATCAAATGGCCCGATAAGGATACTTTTTTTTCGACTACGGGAATGACCCTGCTGCGGGTCATTCTGTGGTTGAGACATCTACTCCTTCAGATCCACCGCCGCCTCCTCCATGCTCTGTTTTACTTCCCACCCCGCATTGCGAATGCCTCCTGCCCACGTTGGACACCCGTCCCATCCTTGCACTCCCGTCGCCACCGTCGCGACAAAGGGCCCGATATGGACGATGAAGTTCAACGTGCACGGAACACGATTAGCAACCGGAGGTCAAGACGGGAAGGTCGTAATCTGGGATCTAGCTGTCCCTCCAGGCTCAACAGCAGCAGCGGCAACCGAGGTTGAACGCGATGGCAGCGAGGGTGCTTCCCCCCCGAAGGAGGACGGTGGGGTGGACGCCAACCCCAACGGCGGTGCCCACGCGCACGAGAGTAGTTCGTCGGGCGTTGAGACCAGCTCTACCGTAGAGGGGGAAGGGTCAAGAGAGACGCTTCGCAAGACGGAGTCGATGTCGTGTGCCTCGACCATTCTGAGCGACGACGGGGCTGCGTCGGTTGGGGATGGTAGCTCGGACCTGGGCCTGAGTGGCAGCAGCGAAGAAAGGGGGGACATTTGGTCGGGGTCCGAGGTGAGCACGCAACAGGATCGATTTAATGGTGTTGGCAGGCACGAAGCATGCCATGTAAACTAGTCTCGTTCTGTTTTTCTCCTTAGAGTCCCACTGCGATGGTGTCTTTATCTTCCGGCGTGTGCACGAGCACGTGGCATGCTGTATGTCGCCGGCGGGCCGGCCTTGTATGCCCGTTCGCTCTTGTTGCTGCTCAGAACTTGCAGCACTGAGCTTCCCGCGCCCGTTGGCTATATACCGTCTAGCTACGCTTCCGCTTTTGTGACAAGCTACGATCTCGTGGGCTGTGCTGTCGAGAAGGAGGCTTTGCGGCGTTGTCGCTGCCACGACCAACCCTTCCCTGTCGCAGAGAGCCTCTCGCGGTTCTGCAGTCATCTCTCGAGCATGACCTGCGTGTGCAGTGACATCACCACCAACACTAGGGAGGAAGTCGTAGCTCACCTTTTGTAGCCAGCTGCCTCCTGTGGCCGGGGCCTCCGAGATTGCCTCGACAATGGCCAATCGGAGGCAGGTTGCGAGTGGTGTTTCGTGCGGCTTGCAATATTTTACCTGGTAGTTTTTTTTTTTTTTTTTCGTGTCAACCACCGTTGTGCCATGGGCAGCAGGTGTTTGCCCCGACTCCCGTGCGGGTGTTCGAGGGGCACAAGAGCGACGTCGTCGACCTGAGCTGGAGCCACTCGGACTTCCTGTGCTCGGCCAGTATTGATCACACCGTCATGCTGTGGCACCCGATCAGGTGCGCGAGCACGTGCTGCTACCCTCGACGGGCAGAAGATTTGTACGCGCCGATCAAAGGCATACAGCCGAGCTTCCATACGGCCGACGGAATGCTTGCCGAGGTTTACGATCTCGAGGGTTCTTTACATGTGGCCCTTGTTACCGTGGGTAACGTGGGATAGCGGCAGTTCGTTTCTTGGCCCGGAGAGTAGGGAAAAGGTACTACTGTAGTGAGATCACTGTTGTGTAGAAAACCCATAAAACTGCAGCTTAGGAACGCGAGCTGCCCGCTCTTCTGCGATGAGATAGAGCGTGGTTGAAGGAATTACCCGTACCTCCCACTCGCCGTGTTCATGGGAATCCTCTTTACGTACCTGTCCGGCATCTCATCGGATCAAACCTGCTTCCATTTTGTGTCGGGGCGTTTTTTTGTTCTGTCTGTTGTGTCACTGAGTCGAGGCGCCACACTGCAAACACTGCGTTCACCCTACAGATGTACTTACCCGGTGTTTTTATGACCGGATGCACGTTTTCCCGGTACATGCACACGCTTACAGGAAGGAGCGCCTCGGAACGTTCACGCACCCTGACTTCGTGACTTCGGTACATTTCCATCCGCTCGACGATCACATCTTCTTGACTGGATGCTTTGACAAGCGTCTGCGGCTGTGGAAGATCCCGGATGGCAGGTAAGATGGCGGACGATAAAATCAAGTGCGTAGGGTTTCAACAGCTTGCCCATGTAGGTTATGACTTGTTGGAGATGGCAAAAGCCAATGCGTTTCCTTCGTTTTTTTTCTTGTAGGGAGCAACACCTGTGATTATATTGAAAGTGCCATGAGCGCAAACAGGCCCCAGGAACAACCAACCACTGCGTACATACGATGGTTCTTTGCGTGTCACGGCAGTAGCTGTGTTGTAGAGACCCTCGCGGTGAACATTGGCGTAGAACTACAGAGTTGAAGAAACACCAGTAGGAATATAATTCTGACAAGACAGCTAGTTGGACTGTACCTACGCCACTTTGAAATCGCAAATAGAGATTTGCTCGCACGCTGTGAAGAAGCAGCGATCCAACAACCACCGCTCTACATGCAACAACATCGGCATATGGCTTTATGTGTCCTAGGAACAACCGCTGACATGTGACGTCATGGGTCGGGAATGTCAGTGGCTGTGACTGTCCCAGGAACAACGGCGGTGATCGGGGATCTAGAACTAGAACTAGGAGAGGTACAGCGACGAACCCGTGTCCGTTGGTAATCTCGGAACACTTTTAGAGCCGGTTGGGCTGGGAACCACTTGGTGGTTTAATGGTGTGTCTACACTTTGCAGCTACAGCGCTCGGGAACGACCACGCACGGACAGTCTCGCTCAGGACGCCATTCTACATGCGTCAGGAGAACCTAGCGATGATGCGAGTGCTTCGCGAACAGCTCATTCAATATGAGCCACGATTCTTAACGATGTTGACCCTCTCATAGTAGATTTTGCCAGATGCAGGTATGCATGCCGGTGCGAACTGCCAGGGCAGAACGTTATTCGGCTGCCGAGTCGCGGGTTTCGAGGCGGGGGTGTCCTTGCCTTGTCCACACCTCCAAGAGGCAAAATTCCCATCAGAGTTGGTGTGCGAGCGAGCCGAAATTGTATTAAAGCGAGAGGGGTCAGAGCAGCCGTGGCTCACGGCGGCCCAGAACAGAAGCTTCAGTGTTAACACTAGTATCCCGTTTACGACGAAGACGCTTGATTCTATTTTTCGTTCTGCTGAAGCTGGTTCTTTTGGTCTCGTTTCACGCCCAAGCACTTCGATCCAACAAAGCTTGCTTCGACAAAGTCGCTGACCGGCCGCCATACATACACATGCCCAGGGAATTCACACACGGACGTCTCGATTAACGTATCTTGTGAAATTTCTTTATCATAGCAACACGATTGTTCGCCGCCTCTTCGGAACCAATCTATGTTTTTCGCTCCGCTACCTTGTCCCGCCAATTGCTGCTCTTGATTGCTGGCTTTTTGTCGTCTTGTTTTTGGCAGGGTGGTTGACTGGGTGCAATGCCAGGACATGGTGTCTGCAGCTAGCTTCTCGCCAGATGGGAAGCTGGCCGCAGCGGGGCTGTACAACGGCAGGGTCATGTTCTACCACACCACCGACCTGCGCTACTACACCCAGGTGAGCGAGGCCCTGCAGCACTCACCCGTAAGTCTCGATCGGTTGAACCGCAAGTTGGCCACGATAGCATGCGACGTCGGTAGGATGGATTGCGGTGTGATTCAAGATGCAAGGTGTCCCACCGGTTGCCGTGCCTCCTTTTGGCAGTCAAGCACCGTACTACCAAGTCGGGCAAACGTCTACTTTTCCCGGTGTTCACGAACGTACTGCGGTGCGTACTGCGTTTTTTTTTTTTCTTCTGATCTGCCCCCTTTTCCCTGTGCCCTCCGGTGCGCTAACGTGCGCGGCACGGTAGATCCACTGCCGCAATCGCCACGGATCCAAACGCCGAGGCAAGAAGGTGACCGGGCTCGATTTCATCGAGACCTCGCGGCTGCACCCCTGTGGGGATGCGGCTGCCGGTTCGGCTGCAGCGGGAAACAAGGTTGGAGGGGCGGGGTGCCCAGTGGCTGCAGCAGTAGCAGCAGGAGGGGACGGCGTTGTGGAGAACAGGCAGCAGCAACAGCAGCACTTGAGGGGGGGTAAGGCGGATAGCATGTCGTCCCAGTATAGCCTGCTGACAACGACGAACGATTCTCGGTTACGGGTCTACGACCTCGACAACTTCGCCATGGTGAGCGCGACATGTCTACTCTTTGGTAGTTTCTTGTAGAGAGCTCGTTGCAGTCGGGTGCTGCTGGTGCGCGCCCGGCAGGGTTATGAAAATTCGCAGATCTGGAGCTGTCGATGTTTTGCCTCTTGCAAATGTGATCCCACACGATGCATTTCATAGAAAGATTTGGGACTTGGGAGCACAAGAATTTGCTGGTTTGTGTTTTTGTGTGTGCACAAAGGCGTTGTTGCATGCTGCCCTGCGATTCTCCCGCGGCGCTCGCAGACGTCCAAGTTCAAGGGCCTCGTGAACGATGGGATACAGATCAAGGCGAGCTTTAGCACGGACGGCATGTTCGTGGTGTCCGGATCGGAGGACGGCCAGGTATGTTGCTACGGCGACGTACCAACGCCCCTTAACGTTTACCTACGATGTAGGTAGGTTAAAACTTTGCCCTATGCAGACAGGCGTGCGTGGTACTGACTCCTCTTGGCGCCACCAGACCGGAGTTCGCGTTTGCACAAGGTCCATCACTCATCTACGCCCGTGTTTGTGTCTGTCTCAGGTTTACTTGTGGAACTCGAAGCAGCGTCGGCAACGAACAGCCCGTTCCGTTCCCAGCTGCAACGGCGGCGGTGGCCACGCCGCTGCTGGTTGCGTTGCTGCTGCAGTTCCTGGCCCTCCTCCCGCGTGTTCGGCTTCGAACACCGCGGCCACCGCGACGGCCCCGGCGACACTCGTCAAGTCTAGAACGTCGTCGTCTTTCGATGTGCAGTGCGCGACGCTGCCGCAGGTGGCCACCGCAGCGGCTTTCCTACCGACCGCTGCTCTAGAAGCCGCGCGCCTCGCAGCAGCCGGTGGCGTAGAGCACGACGGCTCTTCCGCCGACGTCAAACAAGGGGCGAAGGGATGGCGAGGGGGGGTGCACCATTCTCCGCCGATGCCAGCGGCTACCCGTGCCACCGGGGATGCCCAAGAGGGCGGCGATGGAGGCGGTGGGCACCATACCTCGCGACGAAGGTGGTCGTTCACCGGGTACGCGCGGTCTGTGGCAGCCGGGGCGGGAGCTGGGGCACATCCCAAGACGTTGCCGCAGGTTGGTTTGATACCCGATGATGATGATGATGCTTCGCTCGGGGTTATTTCTTTGGGGGGGGGGAGAGCACTTCCTCGATCCGATAGCGTAGAATAGTACCCCTGGAGAGAAAGGAAAGGGTACACTATCGCGAACAGCATGATCATAGATGCTATTACGCGTTGTTTGTCCTGGCGCACCGCTTTCTCTACTACCTTCTATACAACGGTACAAGAAAACACACCCACATAAGATAGCACCCCCCCCCGCCCCCCCCGGTGTTTGCCATCGGGGTTGGGTTTTCGTCGCTTGGCAAAGACGTTGTAAAACAAGCCAAATCACTTCGTGAACTCGGCAACCAGGTTACCGTTTTTTTTTTTTACCTCCGTTTTTTTTTTGGCGGTAACCATAATGGTGGTCAAGTAGATCATGTTGTGCGGGGTGGAGAACCCTCGCTCCGCACAAGGGGGATGATCGCACCACGTTGTGTTAAAATGGTCAAGCACCCTCGAGGCATTACACAGTGCTGTTGTGTGTTGTGTGTTGTCTTCACATTAAAAACCATCCCGGTTTCTCTATCCAGTACCTCCCGT